GTGGCTGAAACACAAACCGTGCGAGCCAATAAAAAAAATCCTGCTTGGCGCGATTTCATCAAGCAGTGTTTAACGAAAAAGCTGGCTCAATGCATTTTGCGAGAAACTCGCCAACAAACATATGAATGTGTCACACTCACCCCGTATTCTAATGTCAATAAAAAATAAAAAGGAAAAAATATCGATAATATCGAGTTAAAATGGTCGATATATCGGATATCGATATTTCCTTGACTTCGATATATATATCGATATAAATATCGATATTTCAAAAGACTGCATCACTAGATATGACCCCACAAGGGTGATTATAAGATTGATGAGGATATTCCTCTATCAACGATGTTTTGTTACCGATACTTGTATGTGTAGGCAAGCCATGGAAGGCAAGTCCTTATTCATAATGAGTTCCATACGATGGAAGCAAATTATACATAATATGCCCCCGCGAGGGGCGGTCATCAGAGTTTTGGTAATATGCACGCCGCGAGGGTGGTTTGCTACCGGTACTTGTATATGTAAGCAAGGCATTAGAGGTATTTCATAAGGATTCACGTAGTGGAAACAAATTGTATATAATATACACCCCGCGAGGGTGATTTGCTACCGGTACTCGTATATACAGGGTGAAATTGAATGTTTCTATGAAACTTCGTGAGATTGATGGGTTACGTGTATAGAGTATGCCTGATTTTTTTCGGATGATTTAAAATAATTTTTTTCGTTTTTTAATTTTTTATTTGGTTATTTTTTTGTCATTTCTTCCTTATGAGTAATTATTCATTTTAAACACGTCTACATAGAAGTTATAAAGCAACTTAAAATAAGCACTACTAAAAAAACGGAAACTTAATGAATGCCTTCATTATGCCTCCAGTCGAGATCAGCGCCGGTCGGGGCGACGACCGGCGGCCGCCTCTAGGTACCTATTACACGCACAGATGACTCGGCGCTTACCTACTCTCCGCTTTGATCCACACTATTTAAAAACAATACAATAAAATAGTCTTAGATGCTATATTATAATTATTTATTCACTGATACACAATACCTTTGAATATTATTTCATAAAGCACAGGTAATTAATCAATAAAATAAATCTTCTTAAAATTAAGAGCAAATCGGTATAACTTACGAGCTTAGTGAAGGAAGGAACTCTTCGTGTTTGATTTGCCCACGTCATGAAATTCCGAACACATTTAATCACAGCCATAGTCACACATACACACACACACACACACACATAATAATATGTTGTTTTGCGGCAAGCACGGGCGGGCGGCGCGCCGCACGCTGGCAACTAGCGCCGGTTGCGGCGTCTTTGATGATGTGAATTCCGTCCACCTCCCCTGTTCCCCGCACGCGGACGTTTGCTTTGATTGCATGCAAAACGCAGTCGCAAGTATATCAATCGCGCGTGAGCGTGCGCATCTTTTGACTTGGTGACATACACTGTGATAATTTCATTATGCCTCGGTATACAAACCAAGAATATTTAGACATGGTGTACTGCTATCGCGAGTGTGACGAAGTAGGTTTGGTTTACGAATGAGTCCCCAAACCATAGAAGTTGCATTTTGTGCAGTGAGTAGTGATAGGGACACTTTAAAAAAGGTGAAAAGACACGTCCGCAAACATGCCTACCTTTGTTTGCAGCAAAATGGTGGTTTAGAGCAACAATTTTGCAGATAATAATTTAAGTCTCTTTTTATTGCTAGTGTAAATACTTTTTGATTAGAAACAACTAATTGTGTACTACCAGTGTGATTGATTTGATAAAAAGTTCTAGTGAAAAAAATGAATATGTTCCTCGTTCTTCGTTGTACCTACCTACATCGCCGGTCTCGTAAGTACTTTTGAATACCTGGTTATAAATTTCATTCTGACCCAAGTATTAAGCAATAAGTATTTCTTTTTGTTTAACATTTGCCTATTTCCAATCGTGACAAAATTATTATTAACTTTTATTTTTCTCTGCTTAAGAGAAGACGACATTTGTGCTTATTATTTCAATTTCAATAAAGGCATCTAAGACGATTTTATTGTATTGTGTGGAATCAAACGAGTCAGCTGAGCTCTGTGTAGAGTTAGGTACCTATTCACTCAACGGCTGGCGGGCGCGGTCGGTCGTTGACCCGCGGTGGAATTTCAATGTTTTTCCGTTTTTTAGAAGTGCTTATTTATTAGTTGTTTTTCACTGGATATGTAAGTTTGTTTGTTTAAAATGAATAACTACTCAAAACGAGGAAAGGACATAAAAATATTGTGTATTTTTATGTCCTTATTATAAATAAATACATGAAAAAAATATACTTCAAAAAAATCCGAAAAAAGACAGACATACTCTATACACATAACCCAACAATCTCACGAAGTTTCATAGAAACATTCAATTTCACCCTATATAGGCAAGGCATTAGAGGCATTTCATAAGATTCCACGTAGTGGAAACAAATTATATATAATATGCACCCCGCGAGGGTGATTTGCCACCGGTACTAGGGATGCGCCGATCCGATCCGATCATTTGAAAGATCGGATCGGAAGGCATACGATCCGGTAATTTTCGGATCGGATCGAGGCCATACGATTTTTTGCCGGATCGTTACAAAACTTGAAAGATCGGATCGCTTGGATCGTATGATTAAAACGCGGTTTGTTTACAATAAATTGGGTAGGTACTTACTAAGGTTTCTGTTACGAACTTTATCTTTGTTTACATTTTAACTTGGCGGCATTCTTTGCAGGTGGATCCGTCAATCTTATACATTCTCTTATTATAAACAAAAGTTGTACCTGATTAGGTGTGACGATTATTGATAGATAGGATTATTGATTTTTATTTGGTAAAATAAAAATCTAAAATAACTTGTCTTATTTATTGTATCCAATCCGATCCGATTTCTTGAAGATCGGATCGACGGCATGCGATCCGATCCGCGGATCGGATCGTAGCATTACGATCCGAAAAATCGGATCGACGACCCGGATCGCACATCCCTAACCGGTACTCATATGTGTAGGTACGCCATGGGAGGGCATGTCCTGACACGCCTTGGGCTTCATGAGATGAAGCTTATGAATATCACTTGCCTCTGCGTGAGTTGCTCATTAGGTTGCTGAAATGTCAATCACTTAAATCGATGACAAATACTTACTTAATACGAGAAAAACAACCTCAAAAGCTCTGAATCATTATGGGTGATTAGATGGTATCTTATTAAGTGAAGTGGTGCTTCATCACAGAGATCACTAACTTTTTAAGCAGTGCATTAGTTTTTATTTTTTAGCTTTGTGCTAGCTGTAAAAGACCTAAGAAACGATTGTTATCTTATCACTTTCGTTATTAAAATTAACTGATCAGGTGCCTTCCCGCAATGATTCATTTTTATTGTAGAAATATGCAATTGCTGAAAGAAAATTAATGTCAGGAACGTGATATATCATAAATTATCATCACACTTCTTTACCTCGTTGTTTGTTTCCAGGTTGATAAAGCCTGAACTATGATTATAATTTTTCAATTTACATCAGCATATCATTGAAAATTAAACGTTGAATGTCTTTCGAACAGAGCGTTCCTTTATCCTAGTTTAGTCACACGACTCACATGAGAATTTTTATAACGTGTATTGGTCAGTAAAAATTATAGAACTTTTCATTCATAAGCCTTTAGATATTGATAGCTGGTCATGTTCAGAAAAGGGCACATCGAAATTAGAAATACCTTATGATTGTACATAGTTCACTTACCCCTCGAACAATCTTTTAATAAAAGGGCGGGAATATCAAGCTCGCTTACTTTTCTTGAGGCAGCGATGCCGCTTTCGTTATACCAGAAAACGACAAATTCAACCAATTATTACTGCAGCTGTTCGAAGAACAATAATGACTAGATCCACACATCTTGCTGTTTTTGCCAATAATGCCAGTCAGTCGGCGGCTGAAACGTCAATATTGACCGATGTTCCTTCACTCTAAACTGTAAAATAATTTAATTAAGTATTTTGTAATACATTTACCAATTTACTTTCACACTTACTTATACGGAAACATTAATGAGTACCAAGAGAAAACACTCTTAAAATAGTTTTTATTATAAACGACCAAGACAGACGTAAAGTATTGCACAATTTAACATATTTGTTTTAAATGTCCCTTATCACAAGGGCTGCAAAAACTATCAAAAAGAATAATAGTTTTACTTACGGTTCCTTCACTTTTAATACGTAAAGTACCTATTTGGAATAACACGAACGGCAAAAACCGTTAAAATAAAATAGTTTTACTTACAGTTTTATCACTTAATAATAATAAAACCTTTAAAATCTCACAACGATCGCTCAGATTGAGAACGTGTTGCTTCGACGGGAGTCAGGACGCCAATGAGTTAATATGGCGCTGTCAAAACTTAGGAAAACAAAAATGGCCGCGCTTCTGCCAGGTGTCGCCACTGGACCGGATACAAGGTGAATAAAAGTACGGAAACTGATGGTAATTCGACGGGAAACGGAAGTGCTATTTCAATATAAAGCTTTCAGTGACGGTCAAGTAGTTTAATGACAAATAAAAAGCCACTCTCAAAATATAGGTCTCAGTCTCGGCGACTGAAAAAGCGCGAGCAGGTGTGGACATTCGGAAGTGCAGTGCTTCGGATTATAGAGGTCCTGCTGTAATTGTATATTTCATAACACAATTAGTCTGAAATTACTAGTGAACTAAAAATAAACTTCAATAAAAACGAAACTACATTTTCTTAGTTAAAGCTTGGGAAAACTGCACATGCACTGCTATTTCATGCATCTCATAGATTTTATTATTTGGACTGAATTAAAAGCACGTTCAAATTGTGTATTAACATCACTTCTATATCATTAGTTTGATAAAATAATATCATAATTGCCTGTTATTTTTTTTTTCTTACTGTGTATTTAGAAAGATAATATTTTTCATTGAAGAACTTAAGGAATAATTAAAATTATTTGTTTTGATCATTTCAGTGTGATGATGACCCTCCTCACCCATACATGCAGACTTTCGTCTTGAAGCCACTTGGAGATTCATTCTTTGTTCAACACGATATATTCCGCCTGGGAATCCATGACTCTGCTTAATGTAACTACTAAGTAATCACCTTCCAACAATGAACAACGTCATTATAATAAATAAATGGTCAACACGTCATTTTACTCTTGTTTTGGTTAACTAGGTATAAGTTGTACAATCTAATGTCTATTTGTATATTCAAAAGAAAACCAAAATAGAGTCTTAAGCAATAGTTTTGGGTCAGTAGATAATAATCATTATATTCCTAGTTAATCATGAATTTGCATTATTTCTTTTGAAATAGATCATTTTGTCTTAAGCTTTATTTATTGACCCAAAATGGATGCACTAGATTTGGTAAATATTGGCATTGAATTTTGCTTGCTTATTTTGAGACAGCTTTGGTCAATGTAACGGTGGACTTTGCAAGTTACACCTTACCTTTTTTAATAAATAACATAATTTTGTAAATAGATTGTGTTTCACTCATGAATCTCAGAATCCTTAATGAGATTTTTATTAAAATTAGTAAAGATACTTTTAGTGACCAGTACCCCTAGCACGAACCATTATCGAAACCGAATAGTTTGCGAGTACGAAATGTCAATGTCAAATTTTGTATAGAAACTTGAACAGCAGCGCCACAAAGTACGTAACGAGAACTAAAATCAGTACACATTTGACAATGACATTTCGGACTCGCAAACGTTACGAATTCGATATTGGTTCGCGCTAAGGGTACAGTACCCCTAGCACGAACCATTATCGAGTTCGAATAGTTTGCGAGTGCGAAATTTCTATGGCAAATTTTGTATAGAAACTTGAACAGCAGCACCACAAAGTACGTAACGAGAACTAAACATCAGCACACATTTGACAATGACATTAGCACTCGCAAACTATTCGAATTCGATAATGGTTCTTGCTAGGGGTATTACGTCCGTTGTGGTGCTTCTGTTCAAGTTTCAATACAAAATTTGACATTAATATTCTGTACTCTACTCGCAAACTATTCGTATTCGATATTGGTTCGTGCTAGGGTTTCAGATGGAGAAATAATACACACAAATTAGATGCTAAGACAATCATGTATTAAGTTTTATAAATAGTCAAAAATTAACAAAAGAACCACTGAAAACAGGTACATGTTTACCAATCTCGAAATTTTACTTGCCTCTCCTTAAATCCTTAGACGCTACGAACACTTAACAAGTTTATTTGCATGCACTACTATACGAAATACACACCAGGGCAGGACCGGCCCGACTTGTCTAAGTGAATGACTAGGTTGCAATCAGAGGCAGACAACGTTCTATCAACTCTTAACTTCCCAAATGAGGGCCTTACGTCCTCTTACTTATAATTTAGCTGCTTCAAAATCCCACAAAACAGGAACACTTCTATTCATAATATGCCAGCTGTCTTGTTTGAACTAGCTACAAACACATATGGTCCATAGTTACAATATGACACAACTTTTATAAAATCACTGAATAAGACGATTCTAATATTTGTTTAATTATAATAATTAGGTATTGAAAATTCCGATTCAACATTTCAAACGTTCAATTTTAATGAAGTGAAAAACACTACAAAGCCGAGATCAAATCAGACATGGCAGGACCAAACGTGGTCAGTTTCACAAAGGATATTTGTACATTAGCCTCATATTTGTACTATGCTACTGTTCCAATTTATTATTATTAGATATTAGCACAACCAGCCAATTCTGTCATAGCATCTCAAGTTAGTATAATCAGTTAATCATAATAACACATGTATACAGTAGACCCGCGGTAATCCGACAAACGTTTGGCAGGGCGATGTCGGATTATCGAATTTGTCGGAGTACATAGTACTGTCTCAGCCCACTCTAGTCTCTATAGTCCGGAATTTTTGGAATAAGAGTACCTTGTAATCTGACAAATTACAAATCTATTTCAATTGATTTTATGTGCAAATCAACAGGAGGTCCGGATTACCGCGGGTCTACTGTATTTTAAATCAACAAGAAAAACAAACAGATATCGCATCTCTTTACTACAATTATATTATTTGATTTACTCTTGTTAGCTAAATGAATAAAATGTTATTGTAACAATATATTCCAACTGTTCTGTAATGGAAATATCCATGTAATAAATAGTTTAATTAACAAACAAAATAAAGGCTTGTGTATATGAGACCTTTTGGGCGCAGTATTAAAATAAATTTGTCCTTTGGTGTACGGATGAAAGTTGCTTGATAAATAATGAGCATGGAAGAATATGGCATAACATTGTCAAAAAGTTCTCACATAAGCTTTCTATCTAATTTTTTATCTTCTCTCTAAGATGAATAAATGAATAATTTGACATTTTACTCCAGTAAAATTATCGTCTGAAAGTACAGGGAGGGTAGTTTGCGTCAAATCCGGTGGTTCTGGTATTTTGCAGACTTGTTGATGATGTTAGCACAATAGTATCATATTGTAGCAAATTAAGTTTATTTTAAAAACGTGTTGAGAAGATACTATCAAAAACTAGTCTTAACCCTAGGGTTATAATCGCCAAAGTATGGAAAAAAAGCTGAATAATTTCGCAGTTTACACCTTTTTTTAGATGCGTTCAATGGTCACTTGAATACTTGATTTTTTATTAGACATCATGAACAAGTCTGCAAAATATCAGAATTACAGGATTTGACGCAAACTCTCATATTTGATTTTTTTTTTGTCTCTGGGATTTTTGTTTTCTCCTTCTATTTGATTCCTTTTCATAAACATTCAAAAGGCGAATCGAAGATAGCTTAATGGTGTGCAAGGAGGTTTTTCGTCGTTCTAATAGAACGCGATTACGTGATTGTCGTCAGTCCACTCGAAGAATATTCATACAAATCACATCACGTTGATACATCTTCTACATCATGTTTGATCAGTTTGTACAACCAAATTTGAGTATCGCGTATTCGCGTTCAATTAAGACGTCGCCAGCAGCGACTGCTTATACTCTCATAATATGCTACCTGGTTTGAGTATACTAACTATAAAAATTAATATACTGACGAATTGAGAACCTCCTCCTGTTTGAAGTCGGTTAAAAGCCAAAGAAACAAAGTAGTGTCAAATGGAACAGTACCACAGTACATCATCACCATCCGCTGGCATCAATAGCGAATACACAAAAACATTTTAGACCTATTGACATCACGCGTAATTTGCATTATTCAAGCGACAAAATTTTGTATCTTGCACATATTTATTAGAGCCTGAGTTTCGAATCTTGCAAAGTCTCGCTATCATGGCAAAACACTAGTTTGTCCTTAAAAAATATAGTTTTAATAACTAAGGAACATTCGTCATTGTCATTTCATCAGATTTCTGAAACTGTTAAAAAAATTACTGTCTTTTACTTTTCTAAGAATTCAGCTTTAAAAAAAAGTGTGGGTAGTCCTACATAATTTTTTCAAATGTATTTTCACAGTAAAAGAATGTTTAAAGTACTTAAAAACGACAATCTATTGTTTTTTTAAGAAAACAGCCTTCCAAAAAATGTGGGTAGGCAGAGCCACATTCTTTGTCAAATGTATTTCACAGCAGTATAAATTTGAAGTATTCTAATAGTCTCTTAAAAAAAACAATTGTCTTTGGTTTATCAAACCTCCAGCATTTAAAAATAAACATTTATTTTCGTTTGAGCCCACTTTTGAATCCCATTCAATATTTTAGAATTACGTTTTGTCATCAATGAATCCCAAAAACTATTACCGTTGGACCCCAAATGCTTAAAAATGAAATGCTGGTACATTTAACAGCAAAATTGTTCAAAATAAAATGAGGGTGTAAAGGAAATTTTGATAGCTAACAGGGAAAGAAATGATAAATGCTCTTCCCTGATCGAACCTGAAGGTACCGTAACGGAACCGGAACTTCCGTTGCTCCCTTATGGGGAGTGACTTCGGAATCGATTAACGTTGCCGTTGAGATCAACGGCAACGGCAACGTTAATCGATCAGAACGAACGGCATCTGAAGATGATAGATATCAACTTCAGACTGCCAACTTCAACCAGCACTATTTTCATGAATATCGCGCGGTCAGACACTGATGTCGTACACTCGATTCCATAACTTTAGTGACTTTACTAACTTCACCTGGTTTGTCAATAACTGGGCAAGCATGTTCAAGCAAAGTTCTTTGAAAAATAAATCAATTTTCTTCCTAATATTGGAGTCAATGGAAATAGGTTATGGCACCCATCGTTAATACCTAGGAGAAATTTGACACGTTCATGAAGGTCTGTAGAATGCACCGGATAACGCTGGTTCGAATAAAGTTTGATATCAGGTATCCCAAGTACTTTAAAAATGGTATCAAAAACTGGGCTCCAACGGAAATAAATGCAAAACAAAAGTGTGGGTAGTGCGACATTCCTTTTTCAAATCATATTCTCATGGTAGTAGTTCCATAGAGGTATAGAAATAGACTAGGCGAGATATAGACTCTACTACAAGTGGAAGTGTCCCTCTAATAGAAAGAGAAAGAAGATGAGAGACCGCTAGCTTTCTCTCTCTAATCGCGCATGCGCATTGTCAACCGTAAGCAACATACTATTTCGATGTGATGCCATTGGATGCTATGCGTCACAAGAGAGAGAGATAGTTAGCGGTCTCTCATCTTCTTTCTCTTTCTACTAGACGGACACTTTTAAAGCCGCCTTTCCCACTCTATTTTTATACCTGTATGAGTAGTTTACAGATCACCGTTTAAAGAAGGTTAGTTACTTGCAGAGATAGAAAACTCAGGCGCGTCATCATACGGGGCGTAGGTGGGGTGACGTCACAGTTCAGTTGCCGCCTTTCTTGCGGCCGCGGGCTGTGGGCAGCGCGACTCCGCGCAGGGAGCGCATCGCCATCGCCCTGTTGAAGTGGCGCTGAGTCTTGTGTTCTTCGGCTTCGTTGCCGCTGTCTACCGACGAGAGGATCACTAGGAGTACTCCCATCACCTATATCGAGAGATATATATTTATTTTATTTCTTATTATAACATGGTACTCACTGTTATACTTAATACCAATAATTGAAACCCCGAATCACTATAATATCTCTAAAGAACATTATTCCTAATATTTGTAGCCCGAATGCACGCTATCCCTCATAACTTTAGACCTGTAACACTGTATACTTAATATTTCGATCCCGAATCCACGTTATCCCTAATAACTTTGAGGCGAGCTAAACTGTACTTCCAGGGCCCAAGTGGTGATACTTCACATTAGGTTAGTGTTGTGACCGTAACGCGCCGCGCCGCGCCAGAAAAATAATTCTAAAGTTATTAGGGATAGCGTGCATTCGGGATCGAAATATTAGGTAAATAGTGTTATAGGTCTAAAGTTATTAGGCATATAACGTGCATTGGGGCTACAAATATTAGGAATAATGTTCTTCAGAGATATAGTGATTCGGGGTTTCAATTATTGGTATTAAGTATAACAGTCCATGGTACCATTGAAATAGGTTAATAAAGAATAACAAGTTTGTTGAGATGGTGTCTGACACGGGCATATAAATACCTGTATTACAGGTTACCAGGCCGCCGGCCCACCAGAATGAGATAATTACAATTCAACTTTACCAAAACAATTCTAAAATTATGGAGAACTTATATAAAACTATAATTTAAATATAAGCCTAGTTGTTAGGTTACAGATTAACAAAGATGTTTGAAACCGCATGAGGTGCAAAAAGTGTTTCTCCCGGTAAGTTAAAGGACAGTTTCTATTGTGTTGTTTGTTAACATATTTATTTTAGTCATTATTTTCTTCTTTAACACTTTCCATTATTATAAAAATAATATATATGAAGAGATGGAAATGGATTTTTTTTCAATGGATAAACAGAAACTTGATTGGTTATTGGGCTGATTGTGCTAGTATATTATTTTAAACTTTCATGGTCATTAACATTATTTGCACAATGGCCGGTTTTAAAAATGTATTATCTCTAGTTCCTTCGTGCTTCGAAAAGCACGTTAAGCCGTTGGTTCCGGCTGCATCTGCAGTCATTAGCATGGCATTTCTTCCTATTTCGTCCAGAGAGAAGGCCTGTGGCAGAATCAAAAAAAAATTGACGACCTTTTTATAAGAAATTTTGGCGAAAAGAACAAACGAAATTATTGCAAATTTAAAATTGAGCATATTTTGGCCTCCTGTCCCTATATTTTACATTTTGGTAAAATAGCCAGGGCCGTATTAAGAGGTGTGGAGGCCCCTAAACCTCAAGCTACTTACAATTTGCACCTTCCTTCCCCCCTGGTTGAAGAACTATTTTTTGTCTCTTTTGTGGGCCATAACCCTGCCTTCCTTGCTTTAGTAGCTACAATAACTTACCAAACACACGATAATGAGTAATGTGTAGACATGCACGGAGGCCTCCGGTATGTTCTCTATATCTTTGAGTGCAGCCAGCGCCGGCTCGAAGTCCGGTCTCAAGTCAAGTGCATGTCTAAGGTGCACTGCAGCTTCCTGTAATAATAGTTTATAGTTATTTATGCAACTGTCGTATCAAAACACGAATGTGGGTTTAATAATAGTATCACATAAGTGTTTTAATATCAAATTATGAACAGTTGCATCGAAGACTTTATCTACCCCCATGATATGTATCCTTTAAAAAAAATACTGTAACCATGGGGCGTTCTAAGTATTTAATATTCGTCAAGTTTAAGGAACGCGCGTGAATGACAATGATCTTTTTTTTGGATTCATAATACGCATAGAGCAGTGAAAATTGTGGCTGGCTGATGAGTAAGCCCACGATTAGCGCGGAAGGGATTTAAAAATCGAAGGAGTGTTATTATGAAATTTAGTACAACATAATAACACCTGATTGGGTGTTGTTTTTTTTTATTATGACAATGTTGGCAATAAGATAACTGCTTCAGAATGTTTAATAGAGGTTTTAAAGTATGGGTGCAGATAAAGACATTAAACGTTAACAATTGCTACTAGATAAAAACTAAGTAAGTATCAACAACCTCCACAGTAAACACAAGTAAATGCGGGCAAAATTCCTCACAACAATTCAGTAACTCGGGCGCTGTTCGCTGCGTTAGTTTAAAGCAACCTCTTATTTGTATGCTTCACATCAGCATCTTTAACCAACGACCAAGTAAAAGTCCTGAACTGCTGGTAGGTAGATGTTGGATTCAGGGGCGTATTTACCGTAGGGCTAAAAGATGGCCCGGGGCGGCAGGCTACTGGGGAGGCAGAAACCATTGAGGCATTCGTTGTCTAGGGTGCGGGGATAGAGGATGGAAATAGTAAGCGGCCTGGGGCGCCAGATTTTATATTGTTTCAAAGAGAAGTAGGTATAAATACTTCAAATTTTGCAAAAATCATTTTTCCTTGACGACGACCTCCGTGGCCGAGCGGTTTCTACGCCGAGTTTCAAGGTGTCTTCACCCTTATTACATTACAAAATAAAATGGTTTGATTGCGATGACTTTAGTCACGCATATTAATTCTTAAAAACTACTCCTATGTTCTTAAAGTCAAGCGACAACAACCGCGTGTATAATTATTATTATTGACAATTCTGTTATCTGGTGGGAAATTATTGTTTAAAAAAACAAGTTACCATAAAGTGTCAGACTGTGAGACCTTCCTAATTGATTGTGAAATCTCTATCAAGTGGAATTAAGCTTGAAGTAAGTTGGAGAAAATAATATGTCAATTTTGTTATCTGCATAAGTTTTCGCCCTCAGCTCTATAGAAAAATTCACGTTAATTTGCTTTATCATGAACTAAATGAAGGCACGACTAACAATATCAGTTAGGGTCATGTTCGCGCCTAACCGCAAAACACAGTAGGTTGACATCAATGTAACTTTATATTTATGAACTAGGAACACAACGAAGAATATATTTGCCATTACATACCTACACTGCATTGTTTAACGATACTGAAATAGCCATAAAATTTTCAATATGGCTCATTTTGCGTCAGTACTAGCTGTTAGGGACTTCATTACTGGATAGGAACAAGAAAATAATATTTTCATTCCAGTTAAAACATCTCAGGTGATTTATTTTCTATTACACTTCCGGACACATCTATCGGCCCACTTAGCATTTTAAGATTTGATGGTTTCTAGCTAAATATAAATGTTACATTGAGCAAAAAGTTATTATACGCATTTTGAAACTAACCATATTTACCTATTAAATAAAACTAGTTTAACGGGTTAATGCACGAACTTTATTTATTTATTGACGTTTCGCAGCCTTTTCAGGTCTGCATCTTCAGAATAATGATTTTTTATTTACTTTGTCGAGCTACCTTCGAAAGACTTTTATTGAGCGTTCGGATATTTCATTGGAAGATTTTTAAAACTTTATTGTCCATGTGTGAATTTATTAGTTTAATTTAGTTAATAAAGTACTTTATTTAAAATTCTTTATTATAATTTTGAGTTTATTTATTTGACCCTAACTACCGTAAACTGCCACCGGTTCCAAAATTGGGAGACCTTTCTGAGAAGAACCGGCGTAACAAAATCAGAGAGGCTTTCTATTTCCTTCTTATGTTAAAAAAAATCTTCTCTTAAAAAAAATATTCTGACGATGCAGATCTGAAAAGGCTGCGAAACGTCAATAAATAAAAAAGTTCGTGCATTAACCTGTTAAAATTAGTTTTATTTAATGAGTGATGTGCGTGAAAACCTAAGAAATAAATACATATTTACGTATTTTTTAAATTATTGATTAGCCATAACATAAACATATTTTTTTGCTACAGACCGTTGAAACATGGGCCGATAGATGTGTCCGGAAGTATGTATTACCTTTAAGCATTTTTTAATAATAAAAATAAATAAATTAGATTTTCATATTTAAACTACCCCCGCTTTACTCCAAAACGCGGACTAAAGTTAGTGTGTAGTTTAAACCTAATGTTGTCTTCTTTTTGCAAACAAAAGTGGCCGCATCAGTTTAAGTCCAGGTTTAACGTTTTGTAATAAGCTTGAAGTTCCGTTACCAAGAAGTGAATGAACTTAAAGACGGATGTCACTGCTCAGAATTTGCGGGTTTGAATCCCGGATGCTTTAATGTTGATGGTTTGGTGAAAACCAACTTTCCGTCTATTGTCACAAGTCAGTCTAGGTAAGACTTAATTGCGGTAGAAATCAGAACAATATTTGATGTATTGTCCCTTATAGTATACAGAAGAAGCGAGTAATCTTCAATCTGAGGGCTAATTTTGCCTTAACCCAGAAATAGTAATTAATACTTTAATCACTCGTTCGTTAATGCTTTCTGACGACGCAGAGTGAAAAGCATGCGAAACGTCATAAATAAATAAATAAGTGCATCTATACCGTTGAAACTTGTTTTACTTAATACTTTAACTTTAAAGATGATTCAAGCTAATTTCTGCGAATGAAGCAAAATACATTTTATACCTACTTATTTTATGTACAAGGTAAAACTAGTAGGTACATATGTACTTTCGGAAGAGATAATAGAACATGGACAAACTATTAAAAGTAAACGACAACTTCATAACGAAAATCACGTTTTTAATATAGTCGAGCAAAACAAATAAATCCCCCTAATTGGTACAATAATATGCCATCTTTGGCGTCAAGGACATCTATGCAAATTGCTATTCTGTAAGAACAAAGAAATGTCTAAGGAAAAGTTGAAGAAATAAAATCATGACAATTATCTTAGTAGTCTGTTATATTTTACAACAATAGACTCTTTTCTATTAAAAAAAGGTAAAAGTTAGCGTAGTGTTGAATATCCCGCCGTCGCTAATACCATAGTAGTCTCGAGCAGTTGAGCGTCTCTTACGTATGATAAACCTTCGATATTAGCTAAATTTCTGTCGTATTTCACGTTTTCGCCGCACTGCTCTCACTACCGGATTTAAAGTTTGCGGACGTTTACACAGCCGAAGAATGTTTAGAAAACAACTATAGCACTGCTATTAAGGTTTTCAGTATGCTTTCTTTTTCGGAATACGAATATAGAATATATGTTTATGCCTAACAACGTCAATTTTGCCGCCCTCTTATTTAAATGGTTGAAATATTTTTATAATTTATTGTAAAATTTTGTCGCCTCCTAAGAAGTGCCGCCCGGGGCGGGCCGGCCCTGCCGCCCCCACTACGCTACGCCACTGACTCACGCCTTATGTAACGTCTTTGTTAGCGTTTCTAGTACACATTTACTCATTTATAAGACTATTATTTTTGCGAAAATAGTGGCAAACATTTTACAATTAATTTAGCGCCTATTGGTAGTTTTGTGTTTCTGATGAGTAAGGTTTCAGGTGGTGTGTGTGTGTACTTTTCATCAGAATACATACATACTGCTAAAAGTTATAATAATATATTGGAAACGCAGAAGCTAGGTAGCGTGAATATATTACCTGATAATGTCCATATGCCTTGAAAATCTCGCCGAGCGTGAAGTACTGCTGCCAAGCGCTGCGGTCTGGCGGCTGGACTTCCAGCGACCGCCGCGTCAGGTAAATTGCATCGTCGAGGTATTGCAAGGTGAACAGTACCCGTGCGAGGTTCAATAATACCTAATGTTTAATGGTCAATAAAAAACCATAAGTAAATAATGTAAAACCAAAACAATTTTTGAGTTATTGAACAAGAAAAAAAAACTATGTACATAAGTGGAACATTAGGCTATAATCATCCCAGTCCCCGTAGCATGAGCGCCACAATTTACATTATATCACGTCTAACTGTCAAGCTCGCTTGGTAAAAACGCGTTATACATCATATTGCGGGGCTCATGCTAGGGTGTCTGGCACTCTCTCCAATTTTGGAGATATCAGACACAGATTCTATACATCTTTGGCAATTTGGATTACTATGATTTTCGATTAGTGTTATGGTTTTCAAAATTACTGATTAATTTCCATATCACACATGCCAAGAGCTTTATCCATTTCATGTTCCGTCAGCGTGCTAGTTTTACACGTATGTCATGAAAAGCAAGTAAGAGACTATATTTTGCATGCGGCGGTGCGCATCATCTATAGGTCACGGCACGTAACTCGTTAAACGCTAAACAAAACGCGGAGGGGATAGCTGCGCATGGGTACTAATGGAGAGCCAATCGGCGCAGCGCACGCCCACCCGGGCACCTCGTTTCCCCCCAAGGCATCTTATTTTTGACTTCATCGCAATAACGGTCAGCGCTAGTTTCGTGCCGCAACTTATACATGCATGCGGGCGCAAATCCGCATAATAGGAAGAGAGACGATCTCTATGACGAACTACGAGCGAGAAATGCGACAAGAAGGCCCGATAAAAGGTCGTCGGAAAGTCTTCACGAGACGACGAGTCAGCGTATTTAAAGGCTACCATTCACAGGCGAGCCCATCCGCCGGATTTGTCGCTGGCGACAAGTCCGCGGACAAATCCGAGTGTGAATGTATTGGCGAGTGCGGCTCGCGGCTCGGCGCGGCGCTCGCCGTCGTGAGACGCCAGCGCCGCGCCGCACCCCAGTCGCGCCGTACAAATCTGTACGTGTGTGTGCTTGCACAGATTTATCGGTGAACTTGTCAGTCATTTGTAGTGCGTGCACGCAGAACCACCTCTTAACTTGTTGATTCTGTATCACGTCTGTATCACTTTTTTGACGTTTATGCGATAGTGTTTTAAGTCAAAAAGTTGAACATAATACGCATTTAAGTTGATATCAAGTTAATATCATTTTAAAGAGTTGATCATAATACGCTTAATTTAATGTCATTTTGATATCGCATTTTTCGGAGATCATAATACGTAATGTGAAATTGACATCAAAACTATATCACAATTAGCGAACATAAACAGCTAATTGTATCTCTTCTACAAGGGGTTTATTCTACGCATGTCCTCGGCATGAGCACGTTCCAAATAGTCCATTACTAACACAAAACGAGCCATTTTACTCTTTTTTATTAAAAAATAAAGGAATTTGATACAGAAAAACACACACATTTTTGACGTTTATGCGATACTGTTTTATGTCAAAAAGTTGAACGTAATACGCATTTAAGTTGATATCATTTTAAAGTTGATGTCATTTTGATATCGCATTTTTCGGAGAGCATATTAATGCGTAATATGAAATTGACATCAAAACAATATCACAATTAGCGAGCATAATTGGCCTGCAGTTGTGTTGTTTGTATCACGAACGAGTAAACGAGTATAATAACATGTCGTTCGGCGATCATAAAGAGTTTTGGCAAGAATTTATCCTGCTGTTTAAAGAGAAAACTAAAGAGAAACAGGTGGTTTGCAGGACTGAATGCATTGCAGCAATTTTAAATAAGTATATTTTGTTCGTTGTTTCAGCCATTCCTTTGTTCAGACGCTCTTTTTCTTTTTATTCTCCGTTAAAAGTATTGCACCGACTACTAAAGCGACTTTTGTGCGTTTGGAAAGCACCGGTGGCATGGTAGGGTAGGGAAGAACGATACGCGCGAGGCTCACCAAAGTACACAAGCGACTGGACTGCAACTCGGCGCTCGTGTAGTGTGTGGGCAATGACGGATTTGTCCACGGATGGGTACGGCTCGCGGTTCGGCTCGAGGTGCGTGTAGTGAATGGTGGGCTTTACGCGACTCGCTGCAAAATCGCAGACGCGGTGGATATCGACTCGCTACAGGATGGCGTAATGGTTCACTATTTAATGAACTACGCCGACTGATATTGACAATACGATTGCGACGCTATCGCTGCGAAAGAGCAACGCAGACGTCTCGCTTGCAGTCGTTTCTGTTGCAGCGTCATCTTATTTTGGGCCATGCGAAGGAAAGTTCTATGAGGGCATAGAAACGCGATACTAAATAGTCACGCATGTTTTTAAGTAATGTCTTTTTTCGTAAATAAAGATTTATAATTATAATTATTATTATATGCAAAAAACAACAAGTGATGTTTTGAATTGATATTATATTTACCTCTGCATTGTATGGAGACACTGCAAGAGCTCTTCTGAAGCACTCAATGGACTGACGAGTGTCCCCTTTGATTCTCCAAAAATTACCAATCTGGTTGTACAATTGTACTGACTTTGGTTTCTCCCTTTTTGCTTTCTTCAGACGTTTCTCTAATGCGTTTATGTCTAGTTCTGTGACTCCATTTTTATATGATTTCTTTTTCGTGAATATAAGAGCCACCTGCAAAAAAATAATGAAATTTTTGATATTTATATATAACTCATGATTGCCCTATTATTGAGTGTGCCAGAAGAAAACATACCCTCTTTGTGGGCCCTACATAGAGAGCTCCGGTATGGTGAGAGTACTTCACAAGGAGCAAGGTTGACTACCTATGTTATTCTACCACTTTTGAGTAACTCCAAAAATCGCCACCTGGCACCCAGGCGGCTGGCGATTTTTGGACCTACCTACCATAAAGTGCATGTATACATGTTATGTTTGCTATACCATTTAAAATCAACAACATTTTACCTGAGGTTCAGGTACATTAGGGTGTCTATGACGCCGTGCCACTCCAACTAAATTGTCATAGTATGTGAAGTTGACAGCTTTCCCACAATCCAAATATTCATCATCTGCATCTCCGTTTATCTCAGTTTGTGATATTTCATCACTGTTTTCACTGCCAGCCCTATAGAGAAAAAACAGAAGACCTTATGTGTAAATTAAAACACATTGATAATGACTTGATTACTTTGAAAATTGATCAAATACATTAGATAATAGTTATCTTCTTATTACATTATCAAATCAAAAAGTTACAAATAATAGTAACCAATTAAGTCAATTCCAAATCAATATTTATTGTAAGCATTTAAATGCTGAGGTAGTTTTAATTAGGGATATAATAAGTACCTATATTATTATTGATGTAAGGGTATCTAATATACAATTAGTAACTCAATCACACCAATATGCCTGAACCAATTTTAAATGGAATTTGGCATACTGAGAGACTTTAGGTACTCTGAATAGAATATTATGAGTGTGGAAGTGTATCTGTCTGTTACCACTTCATAAACCTCTGAATCAATTAAGATGAAATTTGGTATAGAGATAGTTTGAGTCCTGGGAAAGAACATACAATAGTTTTTATCCCAGAAATCATTCTTTAGGAGTGTGAAAAGGGGGGTGGAATTTTGTATGGTAAACCATTTTTTCCATATCCTGATGCTGATGAAGTCGCAGACACCAACTAGTAAACTATATAAATTATCCAAAAAAAAACTTGGACTTTTTGAAAGAGTTGTTTATACTTTCTATTGGAATAAAATATTCTTTAGTTGGTTGAAAATGTAATTTTTAGCCTTCACAACAAGGTTGAAGAAAAAACATTATTTTTTACAAATTCTAATAAAATTAATTTATACAAACCTATCTTCAAATTAGTGATAATAATGATCAATTATAATATTTTTTTAATGAAAGTAAAAGAGAAGAACTATTAAATCTGTGCAGTAGTATAAAAATTTGGTAACTTTATTAGTTATAGATAATGTCTCATCCTATTATAGATAATAATAAAAATAAGAATCATAAAATAGCTAAGCAGAGTAAAGTATGCAAATGTTCTAAATACTAGTACTAAATAATGAAAGCAAAATTACTTAATAAATATAATACCTCTGTTGTTCATATATTTGACAATCTGTGCAAAACATATCAAAACCATGTTTACTCCAAGTGTTTCCATAATAAACTGTTGAAGTGATAATATTGAAAATAGAATCTTCTTCACTCATTTTAGCTTTATCAGATTCATCCTAAAATAAATAAATATTTTAGCAATGCATATAAAAGTTTAAACATCAAATATTAGAAAAGTTATTAATATTATTAGGAGGATATTTATTTGGTGATGATAAAGTGAAGGGAGAGGGAGAGTTAGCTATACGGATAGACTAATAATAGTATTTATAAATAAGTTAACATTTTCCTACCTGCGGCAAGGTATTCCCGTCGACGATTATGTCTTCTTCAACGTTCAGTTTCCAGATATTAGATGTGCGAGAATTTGTGGCGATAATTTGGAAACTTAATATAAACAGAAACAAACAAATCAAGTACGGCGAGTCCCACATTTTCACTACTTACGCCGCGAAATAACATGAACACTCACTTTTAATTCAAGCTGTAAATTATTTTTATTCAAAAAAGTGAACACAACATTCAAAGGCGAGAAATTTACTAATCGCAATCGCAATGATCTTTTTGCTGTTCCCTTTCTCTCTCGCTGTGATGTGATATACTTTGACATTTATAGTGCAGTCCAGTCCAGTTCAATCCATTCAAATATTACGTCTATAGGTCAGCAGTTCAATCATTCCATAAAAGTACTAGTCTATGATTTTTTTTTTTTTTGGTTCTGTTCTTTCCGTTCATTAAACGGAAAAGGCAAAGACGACAAAATGCGCCATACAGCCAAGGCTAAAAGTTCTTTTCTTCAAGTCTTCATAAGGAATAATTCGAAAGCCAAGTTTAAATATCTTCTATAGTACTCTTGATGTAATTATACAGTGCCAAATAACATTGTGGGTTTTGGAGAAGTACAGGTAAGGAACGCGAGATGTTCTCGGCTGAATTGTAGATTTCAAGCAAACTATTACTGAGAAATATTCGTTGAAGAGCAAAATGAGGGCATTCGAGGAACAAATGATGAAGTGACTGACTTGAGAAGCTGCAGAACGAGCATGACGGGGAGGAGACCATGTTCATTCTGAATAAATGTTCGTTAAAGCGTCCATGTCCGAGTCGCAGTCTACATATTGTAGTGTAAAATTTCCGGTGAATAAAATTTCTCTGAGCAAACCACGGCTTTCTGATTTTATCATTAATATTATGATACCAAACACCTTTAGTTTGTAAAGTTTCATGCCAATGATCTAACCATGTCTTCTTTAATTTGTCTTTTAGAATTTCTACACAATCAGAATCAGGAATCTTTATGTTTTTCACAGGGACATTATCAGCCGTGTTAGTTATAATCTTTGCCAGTGTATCTACTTCTTCATTACCGTAAACGCCTATATGTGATGGAGTCCAAAACAAAATGATGTCTTTTCCATTTGTTGTAAGTTGACAATATTTTTCTCTGATCTCGTGTATAGTGTAATTGGATTTTGAAGAAAACGCTGGGTTTGATAAGGCTTGAAGTATACTCATGCTATCTGTTATTATGATCCATTTACTATGGTTAGATTTTGAAATATATTCTAAAGCTGCTAATATAGCTGTTGCTTCCGCTGTATAAACGCTACTTTGACTTGGTAATTTCAAGCCATGGCCAATTTTTGTGTACAAATCATAAAACGCCATGGAAACATTTTTGTTATTCCTAGATCCATCGGTGTACAACTGTCTATATTCAGCCCATACATTTAACTCGTTATAAACATCATATTTACAAGAAAGATCACTATTTATTACTATATTTATTTCCTGAAATTTACTTTTATACACACCTTTATAACAAGGCAACCTATCACTAATATATACATTATTATCATCTATAATTCTCGAAATGTTATTTACACCATTATGTAAAAAGGAATTGGTATTATATGCACTAAGTTTATTTCTAAGTAAACTATTTTCAATAGACATCACTTTTAATAAAAATTTACAATTGAGAAATTCAAAACGTATATGTAAAGGGGGCAAATTGCATTCTATTTGCATAGAATTTATTGGTGAGGTATTCATAGCACCTAAAATAATTCTTAGATTTTTATTTTGTATTTTTTCTAGTCTGTCTGTTAATTTTTTGTCAGACGCAAAACAGAAAAAAGCATATTCGAAATGACTTCTGACTAAAGTTTTATACAACAGAAGCAAAATTTTAGGATCAGCGCCCCACTGGTAACCAACAAGGGATCTTAAAACGTTGGTAGCCCTCATAGAGCGGTCTATCAAACAATCGACATAAGCTTTCCACGATAGGTTTTGTTCAAAAATAACCCCTAAAAATTTTGTTGATTTCAATACGGGTAAAGTTTGACCGTTATAGAGTAATTTTAAGTTAGACACGTTTACAAATCTTTTCCTAAAAACAACCACATTACTTTTACTTGTATTAACATCTAGGTTTAGGTAGCTAAAATGAGAATACAATTGTGAAAGGACATTGTTTAGTTTGGGCTCCAATGACGAAAGTTTAGAATCCTTTGCATAAATAACTAAGTCATCAGCGAACTGCAAATTCGAAATTGTAAAATCTCGCCCGAGTATTTCATTTAATCTATGAATATACAATATATACAATGAAGGGCTTAGAATTCCACCTTGACAAACTCCTTTGTGGGAAAGTCGAGGGCCATGTAAATTATTATTGATTTTTACGTAAACTTGTCGTCCATTAAGAAAGCTGAATAACCATTTAACCATCTTATATGGAATACCTAATCTAAATAGCGTGGTTGACAGAACAGACAAATTAACGTTATTAAAGGCACCAACTATGTCCAGGAATATACACACCGTTATATTGTTATCTTTTAGTGCATTTTGTATGTCAGTATGAAGACATCCTATACTTTCACGGGCAGATCGACCACGTCTGAATCCAAACTGGTTGTTTGGTAGTAAATGATTACTTTCTATATAAAATTCAAGTCGGTGTTTCAATAATTGCTCGAATATTTTACCAATGCAAGAAGTTAAAGTTATAGGGCGATATGAGTCAGCACAAGCCTTGGGTTTATTTGGTTTAATGACAGGAATCAAACAATCTATTTTCCAGTTATCAGGAATTAAACTATTTTCCCAAAGGCCGTTAAATATGGCTAAAAGTTTTTTGATACTATTACAATTTAACTTTTTTAACATTTTGTATGATATAAAATCTAGGCCACAAGCTGTATCTTTTCTAAGTTTTATTGCAGCAGTTAATTCAGACAAAGTGAAAGGTGAAGTTAGGTAATCATTCGTACTATTAGTGATTTCGCAGGAATAAGAGTTCAATCGCAAATCTGAAGGAAAAGGTGCAGCTTCTACAAAATCAGGTGTGTATTTTCGTAAAAAGTCGTTTACCCAAGATGGAATTTCTTCTTCAATTTGAGGAATAAAGCTCCGGTTAAATTTACGCATAGTTTGCCAAATTTTAGATAGAGGAGATGATCTATTTATATCAGAACAGAATTCCTTCCAACTATTAGTCCTTTCTTTTTTTATAATGATTTTTTTCAGTGCTTGCATTTTTTTAAAGTTGACATAATTTTCCTGCAATGGGTTGTTTTTAAATTTAATATAAGCTTCCTTACTATTTTGTACAGCTTTATTACACTTTTCATTCCACCAAGGGACAGCGAAATGTTTCCTTTTTCGAGTATGAGGATTAGGAAAAACAAAACGTTTATTCCTAGAAACACCTGGATTGTCACTGTCATTGTCAACGTCAACGTGAATTCTATGATTTTGATGATTGATTTTAGGAACTGATTTATGTAAAGCTGATGTTATTTTATTACAGAAACTATTGTAAGAAAATAAAGGATCGCTAGAACAAACAGAAATATTTTTTAAAGTTTCGTTTGCTAATTGCGTGTAATCTTCCCAATTGACTAAACGGAAGTTAACATGAGAAGGGAGTTTGTGCATTTCAAAATTTTGTGGGGTTGACATAAGATTTGTGGTGGCAGCCGTTGAAGGGTTTATACTAATATGAATCATCATTAACAAACCAGTCACAGTTCAATGCTATAACAGGACTCACCATTGTGAGATCTAAACCATTTGGTCTCCAAGTGTCAGTGCCAACAGTAGTTGCTTGTGCATCATATAATAAGACCAAGTCACAATTATCTAAATTATCTAATAAATCTCTGCCTCGAGCATCCACCGTGTGGCAACCCCAAATGGTATGGTGAGCATTGAAGTCACCAGAAATATACATTGGCTTAGGTAATTCATTTATGAGGTTAGTGAACTTACTTATGTTAATCTAGGTGTGCTATTACTTGGACAATATATAGAGACAATAGTTAATAGTTTATTGTTTATTTTAACTTGCACTGCTAGGTTTTGTATTGAATCATCAGAGTGTGTACTTAATCTATTATAATATAGTCTATTGCTAATGATGATGGCAACTCCATTTTGTTTGTTGCCACAATCATTACGTTCCACTGTATAACCTTTAATTTTGAAATGTATATGTGGTTTTAACCATGTCTCAGATATGACAGCTATATCAATATAGTTGTCATAAATGAACTTTGTAAGCAAATGCCGATTGCATGAAAGACTTTGTGCATTCCATTGCATTAACCTTAGCTGAGTGAATTTTGATTAGATTTGCTTTTGTTGCAAAGAGTTTCAGTTAGTACTTCCAACATATTTTTTGAGGAAATCGCTGTGCTTTTAGTTTTATTTAAAGTTATTAATTTAATTATTGTTTCCATGAGTATTTCCATTGATAGTGAATTTGAATTTAAAATAGTTAATAAGTTTTGGGGATCATTGTTTTTGACATTAGTGTGAGTAGTCTTAATTTCAGGAAAATTATTATTGTTAAATATACTTGCAAATGTAGGCGGCTGATGTTTATTTCTGTTTTCTTTAATTTTCTGTTGTTTTACTGGGCATTGTGATGAAATACTAATATGATTCCCATTACAGTGGGCACAAATGGCCTTTTCTTTAGGTACTGTACACTCTTTATAGTTATGATTATTGTTACAGATTGAACACTTTTCTGCATTTTTGCAATACTTTGAAATGTGACCATACCTCAAACACCTGTAGCATTGTTTAACTGGTGGTATATATGTTGTGATACTATGCCTCCATCCATCCAAATCAACGAAGTCAGGCAGATGAGAAGCAGCAAAAGTGATTGCAACTGTCTGTGTTGGCTGAAGGGAAAAACCAGAACCATCATTAAACACTTTTTTAAAGAAACGTCTTACGCTTATAATTTTTTTGAAGCTTGAAATTAATGTAAAAATTTTCTTATTACTATATTTAGTAGAGACGTTTCTTATTATTCCGGTGATTTCTGCTGCTGAAGCTGGAATGTTTGCTTTTAAATTATTATCATGAAGAAAAGTTTTATTATTTAATAAAGCATTAGCCAAATTTGGTTTTTCAAAATAAACTCCAATTTTGTATTTATTAATTGAACGTAGATACTTTACTCCCTTTATGTATCGTCTAAGGCAATTTGACAGTGAAAGTAGATCCCTTGTGCCTATGGGTCTCTGAGTATCTGCTGACTCTACAAAGACCACATATTCTGTATTCATTGAATCTTCCTGGTATAGCCGGGCGTAGTCTGTGACGTAATACGGGACGCGAAGGCTCTCCTCCCCATCTTCATCAGAGTCTGAAGAGGTAGAGTCCACCTGGAGTCCGTCGGGGTCATCTTTATCAGGTTCAGTTTTCTTTCGCTTCTTGCCCACTTTGTTCCTCCCCATTTTAGATTACCTATGTATTATTAAATAATAATAACTAATTTGCTTCCTTTGTTTTGACAAGAACCTTAAAAACCGAAATTAAATATAATAAAATTTAAAATTTCCGCCTTCACACTTCGAAGGTTCCCGCGCTTTTTCCAACAACCCTATGATTTTTTTTAAATCATAGGCCGACTACACACTTTTGCAACAGGTTCTGCATGATGTAGTAGAAGTAGACAGGCGACAGTCAAGCCTCAACATTCACTCCAATGTTGTTTGCATTGCTATGCTAATTACCTTATCAATCATGGAAAAATCAAAATCATTGTCATTGTATGGGAAAAAACATGGAAAAATTGAAAATGTGGTTGTGTGGATGTAGCATCTTTGGCTCATACATTTATAGGAATATTAAAACAACAACAAAATGTTATGTCACTGTCATTCATAGCCGTCATGGTGACATTGACATAATTTAATAGACCATCTCTGTGATTCTGTGTGTGTGTGTGTGATTCTAAGCTACTCCTTTGGCGAAGACTCGTTTTTATTTTGATTTTTGTCTTAATTTACGATGTTTTACTATTTAGAGGCATAGGAAGCTATCGAAATGAAGAAAGAACGGACCGGGGACAATTGTCGACCATTCAAATTATAAGTATATTTTGTATCACAGTAATGTAATGGACAAAACCATTCATTGATCTTTCACACTATGTTATTTGTAATTTTTCAATTCCTTTACAGCTCATCAAATTTTAAGCTTGACTGGAATTAGTTTTGAAAGAAGAAGTATAATTGTAAGTACAAAATATTCAACCGTTTGCCACTTTTGCATCATATCCTGAAGTTTTATAGGTGTTAAACTAATTGTTCGGTTGATTACAGGGATTTGTTGAGCTCACTGTAGTACCTCTGAAAGACAACTTACGGTACATTCGCCTAAATGCGAAACAGTGTCGTATATACCGTGTTTGCTTGAATGACCAGTATGAAGCAAATTTTCAGTATTGTGACCCCTTCTTGGATATTTGTCAAGCGGATCCAAATACGTAAAGTATCTTATTCCTTGAAGTTGCTTTTGTTGTAGGTCATTGATATAAAAATACATGTTTTTTTTTTCTGTAGGCGATCCTTGGAAGTTTTCTCTCAGTATCATCTGGCAGCTGCACAAAAGATTGACCCAGATCACAATTCTGGTGAACTTCACATACAAGTGCCAGATGAAGCCGCTCATTTGGTGGGTGAAGGACGGGGGCTTCGTATTGGAATAGAGTTTTCTCTGGAATCCCCACAAGGAGGGATACATTTTGTTGTGCCTGAAGGAGAAGGCTCTTTGGTTCAGGTAACAGTTTTGAAATAATTAATAAAGACAGTTTATATCTCTAGTTGAGAGAACTATATTTTTATGAGTTCTGGGTGCATATAGAACAATTTATTTTTGCTTTATTTCAAGATACATTTACACTACAGTTTGCTGATGGTTAGATTTAAATTATCAAAAAACTTTCTATTAAAATTTAATTAGAAAAAGTTTTCTTAAATATTCTTATTATTGTTGCAGAAATCTGCTCACATGTTTACTTATGGCCACTCGGCTCGCTTGTGGTTTCCATGTGTTGATAGCTATGCAGAGCCTTGCACTTGGAAATTAGAATTTACTGTTGATGAGAGCTTGACAGCAGTGTCATGCGGAGAATTAGTGGATGTTGTGTATACTCCTGACCACAGAAGGAAAACATTCCACTACATTGTAAATACTCCTGCTTGTGCTCCGAACATAGCCTTGGCCATTGGGTAAGAGTAAAGTGTTTAAAGACATTGTTTCTATTTGTATATAACCTATTATTGACACAAATTATTTTATGGGATAAGACAATGCATTTTGTTTTTTATCAGTTTAGCAATAATGTTTGAATTACATTTAAAACCTGTTTTTGATACATGACATTGGGCTTACTTTTATGTTTTTCCCTATTATTTGAAATATGATTGTTCGAAAACTTAGTAAATTAGTAAATATCTGAATTTATTTTTTATTTCAGACCTTTTGAGACTTATGTAGATCCACACATGAATGAAGTTACACATTATTGTTTGCCCAACTTGTTGCAAATATTGAAAAATACTGTTCGATACTTACATGAGGCATTTGGGTTTTATGAAGAAACTCTCAACACCAGATATCCGTATCCTAGTTATAAACAAGTCTTTGTTGATGAGGTAAGTTTTTCATGTGGCTATGAACTTTCTTTTGTAAAAAGTGTGCGGCAGATAAAACTGCTGCTTTAGCTATTGATATATCTGGACTTCACTGCCACTTGGTGTGGTGGAGAAATTGGCCTAACTAAATATATAAAAAGAAATATTCGTACTACAAGAAAATATAAAAATAACTGTAATATTTGTCATTACTTTTAAGTACTTCTCACAAAATATTTTTGAAGAGTAAATGAAAATCCATGTAATTATCTATAATTATATGACTTGAACCTTACAATGAGTGTATGCAGTTTTCATAAAAAAAAGAAACAATATTTATCACAGCATAACAATTTGTGCATATTATTATTCAAATTATGATAAATATAGTTATTGACAATAACTTACTATATTATATATAATAATTTTGTATTCATTTTCTTGATACCTAATTTCATTAATATTATTTTTTCAGACAGAAGATGATGTCACAGCTTACACTACAATGTCTATACTGAGCACACATTTGCTCCACTCTATCGCAATAATTGATCAGACCTACATGAGCCGCAAAGCCATGGCTCAGGCTGTGGCCGAGCAGTTCTTTGGCTGTTTCATCACAATGCAGAATTGGTCTGACTTGTGGCTGGCTAAAGGAATACCAGATTACATGTGTGGCCTATATGCCAAAAAATGTTTTGGTAACAATGAATACAGATATTGGATACATAAGGAGTTGACTGAGGTAGACTGTAGTTGATATTTTTTCCTCTCTTTACATATGGAAACAGTTTCGTCACTAAAAGCATTACAGTAGATTGACTTATAAAAGTATTTAGTATAGGCTATATTTAAAAAAAAAAATGCATTTGTTGTTACATGTTTAAATCTTAAAGATTTTTTGAAAAGCACACTGTTCAATAGAAATCTAGGATTTCTGTTCTGCATGTATTTATTATAAGCATTACATAATGTTAGTATGAAATTGGTATTTAATATTAAAATATCAGTGTATTAAATTCTTCCAATAAATCCTAGTTAAAGGAGCCAGCTATTGTATAACAGTAGAAACCGGCCAAGTGCGAGTGGACTCACGCATAAAGGGTTTGGTACAACAAACCAGGAAAGGAAAATAATTTGTTTGTTTTCGTCACGCCTTACAAAGTACATACTACATACATGGTCACTTATTTATTTTTCAGGTTGTTAGTTATGAAGAGCAATATGGTGGTATAGTTTTAGATCCTTGGCAGCCGCCCGCCAGTGGCGCCAGGGTGGAACCAAAAGATATGTTCTACTTCCCCGTGCGGAACGTACATACTATGTCACCGAGATACATTGAGGTACGTCTATAATCGTTGTATCTTTGTCTTTATTCAGCACTAGCCGTGCCCCGCAGTTTCACCCGCGTTTTTCTCGTTTCCGTGGAAATACCGAGATAAAAAATAAACTGAAACGTAGTAATCAGGTAAAAGAAACGTAAGGTGAGTAATTATTAAAAGTCGTATGAAATATCTGTCAAAGGAATTATCGTAAATGACTTCAAAAAACGCCACGCTGCATTCATTAGCAGACTTATTTTAGAAATGTATTTATTATACTCTTCAAAGATCTTATACTTACAATCATCAACAAATATATTTCGAAAAACATTATTACAGGATTTTATGTTGATAAAAAACTCTATGGCCCATAACTCATTAATAGGTACCAACTCTTAACATCTTACACGTGATAACTTTTAAACGAAATATCCGATTGAGATGAAACAAAAAGTATTTTACTTCTACATAAATACTCTTGATAACATAATGCTTAATTTAGATAAAGATTAATATTACGATACATATTTAACGTAGATTTTTTTTCTTCAGACGATTTAATAATTATTTTGAACACAAAATCGGTTATTGTGATTAAACCATGATAGCTAGATATATGTTCTCGCGGACTATTTTGTAGGTCGTAATGGGATCTACAAACCCGTAGTACATCATTTTGTTCGATTGTCAATAGTTTTTACAGCGCACGCAAAAATAGGTTTTCGATTTTACACCTTGTGTTACAAAATAGCAATTTCATTACTGATCCCTAATTTTGAAAAAAAAAATATAGCCTATAGCCTTCCTCGATAAATGGACTACCCAACACTGAAGGAATCATTCAAATCGGACCAGTAGTTCCAGAGATTAGCGCGTTCAAACAAACAAACAAACAAACAAACTCTGCAGCTTAATAATATTAGTATAGATTAACTTTCAAATAAGATTGAGGTACGTCTATAATCGTTGTATCTTTGTCTTTATTCACCATTAACTTTCAAATAAGCACAGACTGAACCGAATATTTATTATATTTATTTATATGTATAAAATGAGAGAAAAAAACTGCTCAATAATATTAAATAGACTAATATAAATGAAGTGGTATGTAGACAATGTGTTGTTTTAATTGGCAGCATAATACAGCTTATATTTGTATAATAGATATTTAACTCCTTGTCAATTGAAATGAAATCTTAAACTGTTACTTAGAGGAGTTCAAATAAGGATTTCTTTACAGTCAAGTGGACTGTTTTGGGAAATAACTTTCATCTCACAGAGACTACTGTGTTAAATATTTGGTGGTGTGGGCAAATAGTTAGAGTTTCAGGGCTCCATGGGGTATATGAAATAATTTTTAATTTGAATTTTTACTTATATAATATTTTTTGAAATTGCTTCGCGGACGCTGATGTTCAGTAACCAAAACGAAAACTACCCGAATACAGGCGTATTCGACTTTATTGCTTTACACTTAGTCGTTTATCTGAATTCCATTATTCGTATTTGAGCTACCGACCAATTGTTATTGCGCCATTACGCCCGTATTAAAAGATTATTACATAAAGACAGTTAATTTTACTGAACCATTATTTTAGGTAATGAGAAAGAAATCTCATCTAGTATTACGCATGTTGGAACAACGCATCGGTCAAGAACTCCTTCTACAAGTGTTTAACAAACAACTCTCTCTGGCCACCACGGCAGCCAATACTAAGATTGGCAGCGGTCTCTGGGGCCAGTTGTTACTCTCAACCAATTCCTTTGTGAAAGCAATATTTACTGTGACTGGGAAACATATGGCCGTGTTTGTGGATCAGTGGGTGCGGACCGGCGGTCACGCCAAGTTTCAATTGACGTCTGTTTTTAACAGGAAAAGGTATGTGGCGATTTTTAAATAACTCGTTAAATTCATTTGTTTTTGAAAGTATGATTCAGTCTCGAAGTCTCGAGTATTAGAAAACAAGTATTGGAAATACTCGCCGCGTGGAAGCAAAATGGCTGTACATTTTGGTCATTTACAAACGTCTAAACTGGTACAAATGTATTGGCAGCGATAGCCACTGCGTGCCCTTGTTTTAGAACGTATCAATTGACCTGTATAGTATTGTATAATTACTTTTTTGTTACTAGCGTTTTAAAATTATGTTCGAAATAAAATCGGGTGAAGCGCGTTTTAAAAATCGTCGTCGTGAAAGCAGTGTTTTCGTCGCGAAAGTGCTAAAAACACGCGAAATAATGTCACGACATTATTTTCATTTTCCTGGAAACGACGTCGTACGGTACTTTCGTAAATGTAAAAGAACAGAAGAAAAAGGAACTATTGACGACCGCCGTGGTGAAGTCGTATCTATACCGCTTTTCAAGGTGTCACCTACTCAAAGGTTTAGATTCCCGACGGGGTAAAAGTTTATATGATGCATAAGATCATTTGTATCTACAGTGCGACAAGGATCTTAATGAATGTGAGTGATAGTTCATAATTAAAAAGACGGCGGTGTTAGTTCCAATATTCGCCACATTCATAAAGATCTTTGTCGCACTCTAAGTCATGCTGTTTATATAACACAAGCCTTACAGTGCTTACTTAAGGACTATGCATTGGTGTATCTACAGTGCGACAAGGATCTTTATGAATGTGAATGACAGTTCAGGGAGGGCGCCAGCGTCTACGTAAAAGACCATAGCGAGATTCATCGTCCTAGTAAATGACCGTAAATACATACAAAATTAAAAAGGCGGCGGCGTTAGTTCCAATATTCGCCACATTCATGAAGATATTTGTCGCACTCGAAGTCATGGCTGTTTATATAACACAAATCTTACAGTGCTTACTTTAGGACTATGCATCGATGTGATAAACAAAGCCTAATAGTGCTTACTTTGAGGCTTTTATTTTTAAACACACACCAATTAGCTTAGCCCCAAAGTAACCACTATAAGGCTTGTGTTATGGGATACTAGGGTAATGGATAAAATAAATATATACTGTACATATATAAGTATATTTATATAGAAATACATATTAAACAACCACGACTGGAGTTCAAATGCTTGTATTCATCACACAAACATCTGCCCCCACCGGGATTCGAACCTGGGACCTTTCGAGTCTGCGACATCATGAAACCCGGCGTACAAACCACTCGGCTACGGAGGTCGTCAGCTTGGCTAATTGGTGTGAGTGTTAGAAATTTTTATTATTAATATGTTTGAACAGAAACACCGTTGAGTTGGAGATACGCCAAGACTGCGTTCACGAGCGCGGCATACGCAAATACGTTGGCCCTCTGTTAGTACAATTACAAGAACTAGACGGGCCGTTCAAGCATACGCTTCAGATTGAGAACACTGTGGTCAAAGCCGACATCACGTGCCACAGCAAGAGTAGACGGAACAAGAAGAAGAAGATCCCTTTATGTACCGGGGAGGAGGTCGACATGGATCTATCCGCTATGGAGTGAGTAATTTTCATGTTTAATGATACTTTAATGAACATAACAAAAGGCCGACATCACGTGCCACAGCAAGAGTAGACGGAAGAACAAGAAGAAGATCCTTTTATACACCGGGCATTAGGTCAACATGGATCTCGCCGCTATGGAGTGAGTATTTTTCATGTTTAATGATATTTTGATGAACATAACAAAAGGTCGATATCACGTGCCACAGCAACAGTAAATGAAACAAGAAGAAGAAGATCCCTTTATGTACCGGGGAGGAGGTCGACATGGATCTCTCTGCTATGGAGTGAGTAATTTTCATGTTTAATGATATTTTGATGAACATAAACAAAAGGTCGACATCACGTGCCACAGCAACAGTAAATGGATCAAGAAGAAGAAGATTACTTTATGTACCGGGGAGGAGGTCGACATGGATCTCTCTGCTATGGAGTGAGTAATTTTCATGTTTAATGATATGTTGATGAACATAACAAAAGGCCGACGTCACGTGCCACAGCAATAGTAGATAGAACAACAAGAAGAAGATCCTTTTATTCACCAGGCATTAGGTCGACATGGATCTTCCGTCGACCTAATGCCTGAAAAAGCAAATATATCGCAGCCTGACTACCAGTGGCAGTATCAATTACGTCATGAGCGTGACGTCACGCAAAGACCGAGACAATGAGCACGCTTTTATTTAATAAGACTAATATAACAACGTTAGGATGTACATTTCGGCGATTCCCCCGTCCTAGGGATCCGCCTCGACCCCGAGATGCCCCTCCTGCGGAGTACGGTGATATCGCAGCCTGACTACCAGTGGCAGTATCAGTTACATCATGAGCGTGATGTCACGGCACGGAGCGAGATAATGAGCACGCTTTTATCTAATAAGACTAATATAATAACGTTAGGGGATGTACATTTCAGTGATTCCCTCGTCCTATGGATCCGTCTCGACCCCGAGATGTCCCTCTTGCGGAGTATCGTGATATCGCAGCCTGACTGCCAGTGGCAGTATCAGTTACGTCACGAGCGTGACGTCACGGCGCAGAGCGAGACAATGAGCACGCTTTTATCTAATAAGACTAATATAATAACGTTAGGATGTACATTTCAGCGATTCCCTCGTCCTATGGATCCGTCTCGACCCCGAGATGTCCCTCTTACGGAGTACCGTAATATCGCAGCCTGACTGCCAGTGGCAGTATCAGTTACGTCACGAGCGTGACGTCACGGCACGGAGCGAGACAATGAGCACGCTTTTATCTAATAAGACTAATATAATAACGTTAGGATGTACATTTCAGCGATTCCCCCGTCCTATGGATCCGTCTCGACCCAGAGATGTCCCTCTTGCGGAGTACCGTGATATCGCAGCCTGACTACCAGTGGCAGTATCAGTTACGTCACGAGCGTGACGTCACGGCACAGAGCGAGGCCATAGACGCGCTCCACAATTACCCTGAGACGGCCACTAGAAAGGCGCTCACTGACACCATAGAGAATGAGCAGACTTTCTACAGGATACGATGCAGAGCGGCGCACTGTTTGACTAAGGTGAGTTTCTTAAATGCTTAATGCCGATGCACTTAATTTAGCTATTTGTGTATACTGTTTCTAAACTTGACAAAAGTTTGTCCTTATCATGCTTTATAAGGAATGAAAAGGACAGACTGATGTCGAATTTACAAATAGCAAACACGAATAGCCAAGTTGAAGTGCCGTCATAATGTATATTTTTTAAAACTAATTTATTCCTCATCTGTCGGGGCCTTTGATAGAGATCTGTGGCGCACTAGTGACCACACTCTTACTAGTCAAAAACCTATTCCCATAAAAATCTATTACATGACCTTTTAATGCTTCCAAACAACAGATTGTTTAATAAATTAATGATATTTTTATACAAGACCTAGCGAATTACCCCTCCCTACCTATATTGTGTAAGTGGGGGCCTGGTCGCAAACATAGCTATTGCGTCAGAAGTCTTCGTTGTCCGAGCCAATTTAGTATTATGTGATAAAGAAAGCGTTCCGCTCACTTTTTTAAGTGAACATATTTATATTTCCATGCTTATTCTTAGTTCATAAATAAGGAGGTGCTTGTCTACGAATTTCTATAGTACAGAGGTTGTACCAATAATTCATGCGATCCAAAAGCAGTTGTTAAATCGGGATGCTGTTTTACACTAGCGAAATCTCAAATTATCAATTGAAACTGAATCGTTATAAGTAATCTTAGTACGGCCCCGGGCGTTTATGTTAAAGGCGCTTTCAATGTCAAATCAAAACAAGGAATTTTTCTTTGATTATATATCCGTATTAACTGCACGGAAGTGCTCCAAAAATATCTTCTACATATGGTGGATATGCTCGTCGCTACCCACCCACACATTGACTGGTTGCAAAAAATCTGACAGTAAAATCACGCGCACTAACATGAGCCGTTTTCTTTACGTAGATTATTTTGATTGGTCTATTTAGGCGTGTACATAATCAAAGGAATAGATACCTTATGAACTGCACGGAAGTGCTCCAAAAATATCTTCTATATAATATGGTGGATACGCTCGTCGCTACACACACACACACACACCCATTGACTGGTTTCAAACTGACAGTAGAATCACGCATACATTGCGCGTAACCTGAGCCGTTTTCATTGCGTAGTTTCTTTGGATTGGTCTATTTAGTCGTGTACATAATCAAAGGAATAGATACCTTATGAACTGCACGGAAGTGCTCCAAAAATATCTTCTATATATGGTGGATTAAAAAATTAAATCACTATGGAATCAAAGGCGCAGCCCAAAACTTGCTACTATCGTATCTCAGTTCCAGAGTTCAAACTGTAGAGGTAAATGGTGTTAAGTCATCTGGATCTTATGTGAAAATGGGCGTTCCCCAGGGATCGATTTTAGGTCCGTTTCTATTTTTATTGTACATAAACGATTTGCCATTTTTTGTGGAAAAATTGTGTGAGATCGTATTGTTTGCTGATGATACTTCTTTATTATTTAACTTTGACGATGTAAATAATGCTCTCTCACAAGTATTGCACTGGTTTAATGTAAATAACTTAAAATTAAATGCAAATAAAACCAAATGCATTAAATTCACTTTACCTAATGTTAGAAGCGAAACCATTAGAATTAAACTAAACAATGAAAACCTTGATTTAGTTGAGTCAACGATATTCTTAGGTATAACCATAGACTCGAAATTGCAATGATATCCTCATATTTCTCTGCTAGCTGCTAAACTTAGTTCAGCAGCCTATGCCATACGTAAAATAAGACAACTTACTGATGTAGCTACTGCTAGAACTGTATACTTTAGTTACTTTCATAGTATTGTATCCTATGGTATTATTCTCTGGGGATCAGCAGCCGATATTGAAACTATATTTATCTTGCAAAAAAGAGCTATAAGGGCTATTTATCAACTTAGTTCTAAAACATCTCTTAGAGAAAAATTTAAAGAAATCGGGATTTTGACTGTTGCTTCTCAATTCATTTATAATTGCATACTTTTTGTTCGAAGCAATATTAACTATTATCTAAAATACAGTGACATACATTCTTTTAATACAAGGAATAAAAATAAACTCAAGATACCAAATTACAGGTTACAGAAGGTTCATAAATCATTTATGGGTCAAGGTATACATTTCTATAATAAGATTCCTATTGATATCCTTGATTTGCCTCCTCATAAATTTAAAATACACATTAAGAATTGTTTACTTAGGAAAGGATATTATACTGTCAATCAATATTTGAATGATAAAACGGCCTGGTTGTAATTTTACTTGTAGATAATTTTTCAAAAGTTATATTAAAACTAAGGCTCCCAGCTACAGAAAGAGTTTTGAAGAGAACCTTGCACTTACTCCCTTTCATATACTTGTTCATTTTATTTTGAAAATTGTTTCTTGCTATTTTGGGACTTATCTTTGCACTTATTGTTAGTAAATTCATTGATTGTTACATATTTGACATTATGTGATGGAAGTTGACCTCAACACATGTTTGCAAGTTTGATGTCAACTTTCAATTGGACGACACTGTATGAAATAAAACAGGGAGAAAAAAGCAGCCCTTGCTGAGTTTCTTGCCGGTTCTTCTCAGTACAAGGTCTCCCGCCGTAGTTTTGCGAACCGATGGCGTAGCTTTTCGACATTCACAAGTGCTTGTAACAGCCTAGACTGAATAAACGATATTGATTTTTTTTTTGGATACGCTCGTCGCTACACACGCACATAGTGACTGGTTTCAAACAATCTGAAAGTAGAATCACGCACACATTGCGCGTAACATGAGCCGTTTTATTTGCGTAGCTTATTTGGATTGGTCTATATAGGCGTGTTATGAGGAGCTCGATGGCGCGAAGGCGAAAGGCACGTTAAACCGTTGATCCCAGCTGCATCTGCAGTCATTAGCACCCGCCAATCCGCACTGGGTCCTCGTGGTGGGTCATGGCCCCATACTCCCTATTCCATCCATAGGGAAGGCCTGTGCATTAGCAGTGGGGACATTAATAGGCTGATGATGATATATGCGTGTACATAATCAAATGAATTTTGTCTTTATTCGCAGGTAGCTAACGCAATGATAAGCTCTTGGGCCGGCCCCCCGGCTATGCTCACGATCTTCCGCAAGATGTTCGGTTCGTTCTCGGCCCCACACATAATCAAACAGAACAATTTTGACAACCTGCAGCATTATTTCCTGCAGAAAACTATACCGGTAGCTATGGCAGGTAAGTTGATAAAATTTAATTTGTGTTTTTAGTTTAGAGCAATTGCTTTCTTTGAGACTAATGTAGGAATTAGGTTTTTTAACAATAGCTATACCAGGATTTTGGGTGGCATGCGTTTTCTGCCAAGATCCTCTTTTTCTACCTTTACCATAATTTTGCAGAAGTAAATCCAGTGTCATATTATTTTGCTGATCCTTTCTAAGAAGGAGTGATAAGAAGCATACCATTTGGAGTGCAGAATTAGTTGTGATCTACTATATTAAAGCTTTTTAGATGGCTAATGAATATTGTAATAATCTTTTTGTAGTCTTAATAATATACCGAAATAAATGTTTTTTTTAGCAAACTTGTTGTTTTTAAAATGGTGCAGGTTGCTTACTTTTGCATTCATAACGGAGGCATGGTATAACGTAATCAAGGTTTAAGTTTTTTTTTGTTTTTATGTTTCATAAATTATTAAAATTTCAGGTTTGAGAAACATCCATGGCATTTGTCCTCCGGAGGTGGTGAGGTTCTTGCTAGATCTATTCAAGTACAACGATAATTCTAAAAACCATTTCTCAGACAATTATTACAAAGCGGCTTTAGTGGACGCCCTAGCTGCTACAATCACTCCCGTCATATCAGTATTACAACCCGTAAGTGATAACTTAATATTAATTACAATTTATACATAAATACCTTTGGCACCCGCGTAAGCTTTTTCACACGAATTTATTCTTTAATCATATATTCATAAGAGTTAATTTAGCGTGCATTATTCAACATGTATACATGAGGAGCTCGAAGGCAAGTAGTTAGTGCGTTGGGCTTGCGATCGCGGAAGTTAAACATCTTTCGCGATGGCTACTTATTGACGAAAAATTTATGAACTCTAGCTTCTCCGTGCTTCAGATGGCAAGTTAAGACTGGTCCTGGTTGAATCTGCCGTCGTTAGCACCCACTAATTTACATTGAGCTCGCGTGGTGGGTAATGAATTAATCTCTTAACTAATCTATCCATAGGTAAAGCATTAACCCCATATTCCCCGTAGCATGAGCACAATATACATTATATCACGTTTTTTATCGCGTCGAACTGTTAAACTCCATAGTAATTTGACAATTGAGCGTAATAAAAACGAGCTATATCATATCACGGTGCTCATGCTAGGGGGCAGCAATGGGGACATTAATAGGCTAATGATGTAATCAGTGCCGTCTTTGACCTATTAGAGGCCCTGGGCATATTAGGATAATGGGGCTAAATATGACTTCCGTTTGGTGATTGAACAGGAATTAGGGACTTTGTATTTAATCTGAGGGGCCCCCCTATCGATCGCGGGGCCCTGGACACTTGCCCAAAGTGCCCACTGGGAAAGACGGGTCTGGATGTAATGTGATATGATATATATTCAAATTAAAAAAAGGATTATTGAATTTAGGTTGTTATAAGCGGTCATGAATGTCTTGACTAGAAGCTACGCCATCGGTTCGTAAAATCTACGTTGTGTCTAATCTGCTACTAATATGTACACCAGTACAAGGGTACTGAGAAGAATCGTCAAGAAATTTAGCTAGTGTTGATTTTTCTCCCTGTATTATTATTATATACGGAGTCGCCATGAAATTATCTTCCATTATATTTATACGTTTATTTTTATTCTAGGGTGCACCAATAACCGTAGATTCCCTCTCAGCCGACACTAAGTTGGTACTGGAAGAAATTACCAGGGTGTTGAATTTGGAGAAAGTGTTGCCATGCTACAAGAACACCGTAAGCGTGAGTTGTTTGCGAGCGATAAGGCGTCTGCAGCAGTGTGGCCATCTTCCCAGCATTCCGACAGTATTTAGAGCATACGCTCAGTACGGACAGTATATTGGTGAGTTTTTAAATTTTATTTTGGTAATTGTCAACCATTATTTAGTGCGAAACTAGGGAGAGGTTGTACTAAAGCAACTTGGTGGTCATTACACAAATAAATGCCTCCACCGGAATTCAAACCTAGGACCATTGAAGTCTTCTTCAATGGTAAGGAGTTAGGGCCCGTTCTACCTATTCCGTCCATGGGAAAGGCTTGTGCCCCAGCAGTGGAAATATTAATTACCTATGATGATTATTATAACCCGTGTTTAAAATGGCATTTAAATTGACATCTGGCTTTCTGTCCCTCCTTGTCGTTTTAGCCCAGATTCGACGTTGATGATGATAATAGGGGGATATTAGCTCGATGTTGTACAGACATAAAATTAACGTTATACGATAATATCTTAAAATTATCGTTATCGATAGTATACAATGTATAACTTAAGCGTGTTGAGGAAGACACAAGACACAGCGCTCAAGGCACTGAAAGTGCAATATAATAAGTAATGCCTTTAGGTTGCTAGTTTGTTTGCCAAGGTTGATGGGTTTGCAGCAATCGTGCGCAACAACAATGCGGAGTAGTTGCAACAGCCCCATAATGACAACAGCTGATAATTTTGACTGTCTCATAATTCTTATTTATTTTCTTATTCAACCAGATATCTTACTAAATAAATTATACCTACTATTGTCACCCGGTCCCTGGTATCTGAAATAATCTGAAAGAATTATCTATTACTAGCTGACCCAGCGTACTTCGTACTGTTTACAATAATTTGGAAGGAATGATAAAGGACGAACGTCAAATGTTTGACAGGAATATAGATAGAATAGTTTATATGGAAAAATTAAATTGACGTTTTTACTATCTTCCTCGCAATTTTTCCATATTTTCTCACCTTTTAAACGTTCCGTAGACCTCCATGAACATTTCAAGACCAAGATAAGATAAATCCGTTCAGCCGTTCTCGAGTTTTAGCGAGACTAACGAACAGCAATTGATTTTTATATATTATAGATTATTATTATAAACGATTTCTCCACAGATGTAAGGTTAGCCGCGTTCGAGTGCCTAGTAGACTTCGTCCGCGTGGACGGCAAGCCAGAAGACTTGTCTTCCTTACTAACCACAGTAGAAAGTGACCCGGATCCTTGCGTACGGCACGGTCTAGCCAGATTGTTGATTAGCAACCCGCCTTTTGAAAGAGCGCAGAGACATCGATTGGACACTGAGGCTGTGGTACATAGGTATGAATGAGTTTTATACTATTCTTTGGAACCAAAAGGTAAACAAAACCATATAAATGACGAATTTTATACATAAAAAAATCATTAAAAAAAAGTGACATTAAAAAGACTGAAGACTGTACCTATTCTCAAACTTTGAACACATTATAATACTACTAAATTGAAGAATAGTGATAAAGCAAATAATTTACATTGACATGTGTCATTTTGTAATCAGTCTGGTTACACCCGGCCATCGTTAGTCTCGATGAAAATTTTTTGGAAACATTGGTTTATTTGTTTACCTTTTGGCTTAAAGGAATTTCAATAGAGAATAATAACATTAACCATAAAATTAAGGCAAAAGGAACAAAAATAAAAGTTAAATTTAAGCTTAAGTAATCATAAGCTTTATTAGTTTGAACACTCAATATACTTACACTTATGGTCGAAAGTAATAAAAAGTACTTACGGAAGAAGTCAAATAACTTATAAGTTTGACGAAAATTTATGCTGTCACATTCTTTACAATAACAATAGAATGAGACGACACGCGACGCAATGAAGCACCAAAATAAGACGTTTTTGAGCACAGCTGTTTGAACTTAATTATACTTTCTTCACGGAAACGATCAAGTAACAACTATTCTTTTATTAGAGGGAGTTAGAACGCTGTATTGTCATTACGCCGGTCAATGGTAGTCTGTTTTCATTTGTGACGCAGTTTTTTGTCTTTTGTAAACGTGATAAAGAAAGCGTTCCTCTCACTCTTTTGCCGTAAACATAGTTCCCCTTATTAATAAATAAGGAATAAGCTTAGACTTGTTACGCCGAGTTTTATTCATGTCACTCAAATGCCATTTGTCATTCAATAAAAAGAGACAAAACATGGAGTAACTAATCAAACTGTAGTCTCCGTTTATTAATAAGGAAGATAGTGTATAGTAACGCAGTGTTTGTCTCTGTCATCAAATCACGATATGAAACATGAATAAAGCACTGTATAACTAGTTGAAGCATATTCCTCGTTTATTAACATGAGTTTAAAAGAGTCATGGCTCAATTACACTGGGTCATTGGCCCGAATACGAATGCCAATGGAGTTCGCCTAAATGACTAAGTGTAAATGAACGGAGTCAAGTACGCCCGTATACGGGTAGTTTTCGTTTTGGTTACCCGACACCGTCTTCTAGCTCGTATTCCAGTGTAAATATTGCTTCGGGTGCTCGAATTCGAGGAATGTCTTTCGTGCATCCGAATATGGGCTAACGACCATGTGTAATTCAGCCATAAGACTAGATTTTGTGTATTTTTGTGGTTTAAGGTTGTACTTTAAAAGCTTAGATCACATTGCAATCTAGACTCGTGTCGATCTTTGATGTTCTGCACACTGCAAGCCATACCTACAGCGTAAGCTTTGTAAGTGATTTCATTAAGAACCCGTTTTCAGGTTATGGAATAATATGAACAGTCATTTATCCAACGATGCGCGACTTAGATGTGACCTAGTAGATCTTTATTACACTCTGTACGGTCCAAAGAGGCCTATTTGTGTGCCGGTACTCGAGATCCAAGCTATGATGAAGCAGATGCATCATAAGGAACGCGATCGATTAGAAAGAGAACGAGAGAGGGAGAAAGAGAAGGAGAGACAAAAGGAGTTGGAGTTGAAGCCCGTCATCAAACAGGAGATCGAGGATGTAAGTGTTTGGTTTTTAAGATATTAGACGTGTCTTTGAGTTTTAGACTAAAAAAGTATTAGGTTTCTTAATAAGGGAATGTAATAGTATTAAATATTTTTTATTTGTTTAGTGATTGTCTCCTTTATAGATTATTTACTATTATATTACAATTCAAAAGTTAAATATTAATAAAGAAAAATCCTAACAGCAAAGATATTTTAAAGAAATTGATATGTTTTTTACATTTATCATCTGAACAAATTAGGTAAGATACTACCAGAAAAAGAAATTTCATTATTTATGCAGCTATTACCTTATAATAATTTTTAATAATGTTGCCGAATAACCATACCTTTTTCTCAACTTATTTTTTTACATAATCAGATTAAAATGGAAACAGACGTGGGTCCGTTGCAAGAAAGTCCGCTTCCCCTTGTAGAGGGGCGGAACGAACTGCTTCCGGTTCCGGTGTCCAGCATCAAGGAGGAGGACGTCAAGATTGACGTGACCACCGTACACGACTCGCCCGCTGACTTTCCGGTGAGTTCAATAATAAGTGTGATAAAGACAGCGCTCCACTCACTCGTCAACTCCACTTGCCCTTGTGAAGGGGCGTAACGAACTGCTTCCGGTTCCGGTGTCCAGCATCAAGTAGTACACGTCTCGCCCGCTGACTTCCCGGTAATTTCAATAATAAACTGTGATAAAGAAAGCACTCTACTCACTCGTCAACTCGGCTCCAAATCGCGTATGTCTTAATAGTATACGGATCAATTTAAAGACTCGTTCGATTAGTTCGCGCCAAAAACATCATACAAAAGACCTAACGTCACAGTGGAGCCAACTGGTGCTGTAAATTTTCATAAACACCCTTATAAGTCTAGCTCCGGGATGAGCAACATTTTCCTTAGCGTGCCAATAATTACTATTAACACCTTTGGCGGGCCAGGTCTTTTAATTTTTGACTGCTTCTTTATTGAAATAAAAGTAATTGGTAGGTAAGAAATCAAAATAAAAATTTTAGTTTGCTGCGAAGTAAGTACCAGGCTGTCATGGATAGAGTTATGGGTTTAGTTCGTGGGATTTGCCTTTGATCTTGTACTGGTATGCTACCATATTTTTACCGGGAAAACGAATATGACGTATGATCGAGCGTGCATGACGTAAACGCTGCTTATATTAAAGTCTATATGGAAATGCGGCGCGTACGTACTAACAAATGTGCGATCAGCTTTAATAACCATTGATACAGCCAAAGTTTTGTTTTAACAAGGGGGCCTTGCGCCTATCGCTACCGTCAAAGGTTTTCAAATAACGCGTGCTCTTTTAGCATTGGTAATAACAATATTTAAGAAAATGAGCTCGAGGTATTTGAAAACCTTCGGCTCAGTCAGTCAAGCCACTAGACCACAATTGGCTTAGTAGCTTAGTGGCGACCACTAGTGGCTTAAGGGCGGCCACTAGATGCTTAGTGGCGACCTCCACTAAGCCATTAGCGGCTTCGATTGGTGGCTTGTCTGAGCCACTACTGGTCGCGTTTGGTGGCTCAATGTACGGTTGCTCTTATCCATAGTTTTATCCCCATCAGGATGACAACAAGCGGGAGTTCCTCACGGATAACGCGGTAGCTCTGCCCGGTATCCCGGGCTCGTCGGGTCCCGTCGGCTTCGAGCCCGGCATGTTCCGACACGACACTAAAGACGAAATGGGCGCACCCAAGGTAAGAATTTTGTTTGAATGTTGACTCTCGTAGACTAATGTACGATTAGAGAAATTGAATAGAAATAAATTTATGAGCCTTAAACATAGTCATATTTACATAAATAAAACAAGTCAAAATAGGCCAACTAGGTCCCTGTCTCAGGTTAATACTACAGCAAAACCAGGGCTGCTGCAGCGCTGATAATTCTGGCAGATTCACACTTACGGAGCCGGATCGAGGCGCAGTGCAGTGCGTCGCAGCTAATGGTTGCGCACGCGCCTCCAGCTGATCCATCTGACGGTCAAAAACCGAAAGCATACTATTAAGAGGGGAGGCGGGCAATGTTTTTTCCATACAAACGCTCTCGACTAATTCCTCGTTGATTTTTATAACTAAAGAAATGATTTTCATACATAAAAGATTATTTTACTCATTCTATGCTACTATGTCATCCTATTTTCGATAACTTGCGTTTCAAATAAACTAGAAGCCCTTAAACTGCCCAAATAAACAAATTTTCATCACCACTAAAGACGTATAGTGTGAAGATTCAATAAGCATTTACAAAAACAACAAAACAAAGAGGCCTAGTATAATTACTTATTATTCTATTGGTAAAATTTCTTTAACATAATATCTAACTTTCGAAGAGGAAATCGTCGGGGATGAAACCTCGTAATTTGTAAATTTTTACACGCAATAATTTTTTGTAGTTTAGTTAAGTACCTACTTATAAAAAAACTTGAGATCTACTCAAAAAGCTCCCCTGATCTAGCAGTTACAGCAATAGCAGCAGCTATGCACAAAATATACAAACATAAAAGAGCCTTTTATTTCACAGGCTAAGAAAAAGAAGAAGGACAAGAAGAAGCATAAACACAAGCATAAACACAAACACAGCAGCAAGGAAAAATCCAAAGAAAAAGACCACAGAGATAAAGACAGATCATTACCGCCCAGACCCGCTTCCAGCACAGAACAACTCAAAATCAAAGAGGAGACTAGGGAAACCCTTAGCTCTTTCAGTTCCAGCCAAAGCCCCTCCGAAGATATATCGTCGATGCCAACCAATATGAGCTTTTGATCTCCTTCGCCGAATCCATAGATTTTAATATAAAAGTAATTTAAGAGAAGAGACTAATTTAAGAATGTTTATAATAAAAGTATACAGAAGTAAATAAAGAGTTCCCTTCTTTTATAACTTTATCCAATAGGTACTAAATCATTTTTGTAGGTGTACTTGTGTATGCTTCCGAGCTGGTAATCTTGTCTCAATCATTTACGGCCACACTCTGAGAAGTCAACTGACTTTTTTGTATGATTAAAGTTAAGCTTTCTTTCGATAACCACTGTGTAAGTAACCACATTTGCGTTTTATCTAATCCAATAGAACGAGACAACGCCTGACTTAATGAATAAATACTGTTAATTTGACGTTTTTAAATAACTATTATACTTTTATTACTTACCAGAGGTGCCCCGGGGTCAGCGTTGTCAGACGTCCCGATTTTTAAATCAATTAATAGTCCCGTGCGGAACAGGCTCAATCCCGCTTTTCGGGAATAAGTCGACCGTGCGGTCAGCATACTGAGAATGCGCGGGAGGGTGGCACAGACAAGCGTGGACTGGCCACCTGCCCGGTGCGTAATGAAAAACTCAAACAAAGACTCGACAATTTAACGTAAATATCATATTTTTATTTAAATACATTTTCTATGGATATATTTACTAGGTACCTATCTACTGTCATGTAAACGTAATTTGAACTCAAATAAAAAGATAAATATTCAAGAACTTTTGATTATATACGTTTTTTTACTATGTCCCGCTTTCGACGAAAGAATCCTGCTTTAAAAAGTTCCTAAATCCCGACTTGGCAAAAAAAATCTGGCAACGCTGCCTTGGGTGATTATTAATTATATATTACGTGAGTATATTTATTAGATGAAATATTTAGGAAATATTAGGTATGTGTAAACATTAATAAAGTTGAGGGAACGTAAGAGATATGTTTGTATGAAGTACCTTTTTTAGTAGATACCTAGTACCTACCTATCTCGACTTGAATTAATTAGTTTCGAAATTACTATAAAACAATAGACTTTATAATAGTAATAACATTTTTTTTTATATTCGAGATTTTTATATCATTACCTTTACTATGAAGTATAAAGTGTCTACCATCAGGTACTTACCATTTTTTTAACTATACCTACGTATCATACTGCCGTCAACAGAAAGCCGAAACTGCGGCTTGAGCTCAAATTACTTGAATAGATCGAATTTCTATTGAGTCCTTAATAAATCGATATGGCGTGTGCTTTCGCGGCGTAGAGGCTTTGTGAAGCATACTTACTTATTCTTGACTTTGCAGAATGATTGGTTGAATGAATCAATGTGGGATATTATACACACGAGGTGGACCGACGATCTTGCGAAGGTCGCGGGAAGACACTGAAAGCGAGCGGCGCGGTGTGGAGATCTTTGGGGCAGGCCTATGCTCAGCAGTGGGCGTCGTACGGCTAATAATTGATGATGAATCAAAGGATGAATATAACATACAAAAATTGATGATCCCAAACTAGATATGTAGTAGCCGAAGCACCATGCCATAAAACTATAAACAACAAACCTACCACGAACACTCGACTCCAGGCAATATACAGGGTTAATTTTAAAACACCAACAACCTCTTAGGGGGCGATTCTACCCATCAACAGGAACAACTTTATTATGGGACCAACGTTGAAATCGCGAAAAGAAAATCTGCTGTATCATACAAAAGTGCATCAGCTAATCGACTGAAATGTATGAAACAGCTGTTTTTTTTTCGCGACTTCAGAGTTCGTATGTCCATAACAGTCATATAAAATGAAAAATGGTGTGGGGAACCTAAACATGATTTTCGATTATCTAGACAATGATACCCACTCGACATATTTAATCAACTTATTTTTTTTACTTTGTCACAATATGGCGCCTAATTGTCCCCATATTGAATTTTAATTAGTATCATATCTTTAGTAGCACTCCCATGATTAAGACAAATCGATTGATGTATGAATCATCAAAATCGGTCCACGCGTTTGGTCTCTAGTGTGCCACAAAGGAACATACATACATATATAGACAGTTAAAAGGTATACATTACCGTGACTATAATCCTGTCTGCGCATCGCGCTTCACACTCTTGCATTGCGCAGTCTGATGATAATAATGTTTCAGCAATTACTCTTTAGCTAATAAATTAATTATTTTATAGCAAAAGAAGAACAGATAACGGAACAACGACGTTTATGTTAATATTTGATAAGTACATAGTACTAAGTACTATTCGCAAACACTTTCGTTTATAACAAATATTGTAAAGCTTCTAGTTATGTAGGTACTCTGATAGGAGCAAGATAAAAAGAAGTAGGTTCTTACAAGGTATAATAAGAGTATATGTAAATGAACCCCTGTTTGGGTAAAGGCGCTGTCAAACAACCTGTGTAGTCGCGGGCGAGGCCGCGCACAGTGGGTGAAAAAAAGAGGTCCCCTTTCATAGGATTTTTGAAAAAATAAAAATGTATATTATCCGTTTAAGGTATGCGGTTTTATTGGACATATCAGTACATTGAATAATAAAATAGTTTGGGGAATTTCCTTTTAATCTAACACCATAAAGCACGGGCTTTAGAGTTTCAAATGTATGAAAACGGAATTTGTTTTGCTCATAACTTGTCTCGGTCTTCTACGGTCAAGCTGAAACTAATAGGGATTATTACCGGGTCTGTTACAAAGCCATGTGACCTTTGACCTTCACCCCGGACGGCCCCGTTCAAAAGATACGAATTTTTCAAAATGCTTATTAGGGTAATTTTGCTTTACGGGGTTATGTGTCTCAATAAACAGTTTGTTTATGTTTCTTGCCCAGCATTTAGTTATTAATACAGCGCAGATTATTATCTAATAAAACTATACATATATATATAGATAACGACACCATACAACTTAACTTTAAATAAAAGCGTCCTTATTCAAAAGATATGGAATTAATATAAATAGATAAAAGAAATAGTTTTAAGAAAAAGAAAACAAGAATACAATATTGTAAAGAATTACAATGAAGTCCTTTACAGCCTACAATTTAATCTTTTGTTTGAAAATCGCTTAAAAGCCGCGCGCCATTAACGAGAGCATCATTACATATAAACAATACAAACTCTATTGTTGCAGGTTTTGAGGAATTCAAAGGGTTACCCACAGTCATTACCTGCCGTTGTTTGCCTATAATAATTACTGATTATTTGCTTTTATTGTGGGTAGGTGAATAAATAATACGTTGTTATTATTATTATTCAACAATGACTTCGATTATAATAAATACGGAGTACACCTATATTTCATTTCACTTATCATTATTGATTCGTACCGTAACGTTCTCTTTGCTCAAATTTTAAGTTGCTCAGAATGGAAGGGCTTGTGTCTAATCTCGACGTATGAGGCAAAAATCTTTTAGTGCCGACATGTTATTTCAAAAAGTACTCGATTCAGTGAGATTTTCATTATCTGAAGAACAAAAGACAACTCTTAAAACGTTTTGTGCTACATATACGAGTAATCTTAAACGCAAATGGAAGTCAGCTAATTACACACAAGGGAATTTTATAAAGAAGTTTGCTGACTGGTTGGACCAAGAAATAAAATGGCCAGAGTTTGTTTCACTAGACATAACTGAAGAACAATCAAATATTATGACGAGTTTTGAAGATCCTTCAACAAGTATTTCAACAGTAACAAGACCTAGTTTATCAACGGAATGCACTGTTCCTCATAGTGTGGCTGTGTCGACATCAACCGCTACATTTAGTCCTCGAAAAGAATTTGCCAATTTGAGTCCACTGCAAAAAAGAAGAAGAACTGAAAATCTCATTACCGAAAACGATTTTGAGACACTTGCTTATGCCCTGGCTAGGAAAGCGGAAAATGAAAACCAAACGGACTTTGTAGAATTAGTGAAGCATTTGATTAAAAAGCCTGAAGATGCGCCAATGCTGCGAGCCTGCCTGAAATCGACGAAACGAACTTGTTATACCGATAAGGCACTCGGTATTTCAACATCACTGAAATTATCGAAATGGCAGTATATTACATTGAGGCAGACAATGAGAGACATGGGGTGTGATATACTTCCATCGTATGATGCTTTGAAGCAAGAGAAGAAGGAGTGCTACGTTGAAAAAGAAGACATGGTAATAACTGAGACTGAAGTTAAACTTAAACTTCAGTCTATTTTACATATTACGGTCAAGAGACTATTAAAAACTCTGGAAACTGATTTAACTGGCAGTAATTCGACTCTTATCAGTAAATGGGGGTTTGACGGTGCATCTGGGCAAAGCAACTACCAACAAAAAATTGACGGCGATGATTCAAGCATCTTCATGTGTTCATTTGTGCCGTTAAAACTGGTGAGAGATGGTACTGATGAAATAATATGGGAAAACCCCAAAGCGTCTTCAACGTTTTACTGTCGACCCATTTATTTTAAGTTTGCTAAAGAGAACGATTTGAATGTTGAAGAAGAAATGACTTCAATTGATACGGAAATTGCTGCTCTACATCCAATTGTTATCGATGGTGCAAATGTAAAACACGTTCTGCATATGACGATGATTGATGGTAAAATAACTTCACATTTATCAGATACATCCACAGCTACATGCGATATATGCAAAGCAAAACCAAAAGAAATGAATGATATCGACAAGGTTACTCAGAGAACCCAGTCTGTAGACATGTTTAAGTTCGGTCTGTCTTCCCTCCATGCACGAATTAGATGCATGGAATGTATCTTACATATTGCTTACCGTCTCGACTTCAAGAAATGGCAAGTTAAGGGCGAAGATTTGAAGCAACAGTTAAGCCAAAGAAAAAAGGCTATTCAAGAACAAATCCGGACTGAAACGGGGCTACTTGTGGACGTTGTTAAACAAGGGGCTGGTACAAGCAACGATGGAAACACAGCAAGAAGATTTTTTGTTAATCCTCAAATTACTGCTCAAATAACGGGTGTTGATGAAGAACTCGTTAGAAGATTTGGAGTGATTCTTCAGGCTATCTCATGTGGAGAGTTTGTGGACGTGGAAAAATTCCGCCAATATTGTGCTGCTACAGCACGCAAATATGTCGAGCTCTATGAATGGTATTATATGCCCTCAAGCGTGCATAAATTACTCATTCATGGTGCCGATATAATAGAGCACAATAACTTTATACCAATCGGCAAGCTCTCTGAAGAGGCCTCTGAAGCTCGTAACAAAGATTTTAAAAACTTCAGAACCTTCCACTCGCGTAAATCTAGCAGGATTGCAACAAATGAAGATATTATCAATAATTTGTTAATATCGTCTGACCCATACCTATCAAGTTTCAGGCCTAAAATATGTCAACGAAATAAACCTCTCACAAATGAAGCTAAATCATTATTATTAACTTCTTGTGAAGATAAGGAAAATATAGAGTTTGTAGATGTAGGTAATGTATCTGATTATGACTTTGATTAGTATGTGTTCTTTCCCTCAAATCTAATTATATCAAACTTTGTATTTTTATTTTTTTGTATCTTTGTATCATATTAATATAAACAGTTTACATATTTAAGAACTGTTGTAGCCAATTTGAGTTCTACTAATCTTTTATACTTTAGCTTGTATGTGTGTAGTAATTTATACAGTTGTGGCTTCCTTATTATGCATTATTTAATTTATGATATCAAGCTTAGTTAGTAATTTAAGTTTTGTAAATAAAAATATTGATGTTAATAATTTTGTTTTATTCATAATGTAAATAGTTTATTTTCTCGTTTGGCAGTAACATATCAGAATCTCCCTTACTACATTTACTAATATTAATAACCAGCTAGTTTATCTGGAAAAACACTTTGTTCATTTTAAGCTTAGTCAGTTAAAGTTCTAGGTATCCCAAAATAAACATATTTGATCAAACCCTTTCTTAGATAGACATTGTAAGTGTAAGTATGTTTGTTTGACAAAATTAATTATTATAGGCAAACAACGGCAGGTAATGACTGTGGGTAACCCTTTGAATTCCTCAAAACCTGCAACAATAGAGTTTGTATTGTTTATATATAATGATGCTCTCGTTAATGGCGCGCGGCTTTTAAGCGATTGTCAAACAAAAGATTAAATTGTAGGCTGTAAACGACTTTATTGTAATTCTTTACAATATTGTATTCTTGTTTTCTTTTTCTTAAAACTATTTCTTTTATCTATTTATATTAATTCCATATCTTTTGAATTAGGACGCTTTTATTTAAAGTTAAGTTGTATGGTGGCGTTATCTACTGTGTAGTTTTATTAGATAATAATCTGTGTTATATTAATAACTAAATGCTGGGCAAGAAACATAAACAAACTGTTTATTGAGACACATAACCCCGTAAAGCAAAATTACCCTAATAAGCATTTTGAAAAATTCGTATCTTTTGAACGGGGCCGTCCGGGGTGAAGGTCAAAGGTCACATGGCTTCGTAACAGACCCGGTAATAATCCCTATAAGTTTCAGCTTGACCGTAGAAGACCGATACAAGTTATGAGCAAAACAAATTCCGTTTTCATACATTTGAAACTCTAAAGCCCGTGCTTTATGGTGTTAGATTAAAAGGAAATTCCCCAAACTATTTTATTATTCAATGTACTGATATGTCCAATAAAACCGCATACCTTAAACGGATAATATACATTTTTATTTTTTCATAAATCCTATGAAAGGGGACCTCTTTTTTTCACCCACTGTGCCGCGCCGCGCAGGGTTGCTAACCGTATGAGAACGCTAACGTTCGAAATTTAGGTCTTTATACATGATACGAGGTAAATAGAAATCTTGTTAATTTTGATATGAGATTTGAGCAATGTTGATTGTTTGTGTTATCTTATCGGAAAAATATTATCGGAAAGTAAATAAATGTCCAGTCCACAAAGGATCGACTCAGTAAGTACAGATTCATTATGTTATCACTAAGTGTACGAGATTTCTATTTACCCCGTATCATGTATAGAGACTGCTAAAGAACATGGTAAAGTTTTGTATGAGCGCCTGCATGGCAATGTATAAATACTGTCCTTAGTAATATTTAATGGTAAATGACTGAATATTTATAATTTCTATGAAAAAACGCTCAGGAACTTTTGATAAAGTCACAATCTTGAAAATTATGAGAACTCCGACTATGTCATTACCTTACTACAGTTGATAAAAGATGTTGCCAATTATTTACAGAGTCATGAATTACGCATTTTCTTAAAATCTTTCTTCTCATTTCTCTGATTAACTCTTTACAAAAAGTTTTTTTAAATCAAAAATAAATACAACTAATTTGTTATCGTCAGCCTGATAGGAAATCTGTGAGGTTTTATTTTGTCCATTTGTAAAAATTAAAGGATTAATTATCATACAGCCTTGTCTCAAGTCTGATCAGAATAATAAAATCTATTATTTTAGGCCTTCCGTGATTTGTTATAATAAAAATTAGGGCCAAATAGTTTGAAGGAGTTTAGAAATAATATTGTTTATTTCGATATACTTTCACAAATATTTATACTTTTAAATATTTGATTATTTCACGAAAGTTGTATGAGAATAATAAACACGTAATAATTAATAAAAAAATATTGTAAAGTTACGGGCTAGTGCGAAATATTTATACACAGTTTTAAGGGCAGTTTCTTAGCCATGTCCTTTAGAACGTTAAAGTTCTCATACGTTTGGCAACCCCGCGCGGCGCGGCCTCGCCCGCAACATCTTTAGTCGTGGGACAGCGCCTTAATACAGACAGACGTTAATAACAAAAAATCTGATGCTTTCTACCATGCTTCAAGTTCTACTTATCAAGGGGTATCTGAATCACGGGTCCATGTAAGTTTCGCGACTTTCAGTATTTTTGGAGATATGATTTTTTACATGTTTTTCGTAATTATTATCTAAATAACACTTCTATTTTCTCCCCATCCGTCGAATACTTGTGAATATTTCTTTTGGGGATAAAAACAAACCTGGTCCGTTCTTAGAAACTACTGGTTACCCATCACAAAGCGCAAACAGAAAATTTATATAACTTATTTCATATTTTGATTTGAATAACATCTAGGTTGCCTGGGCGTCGAAATCAAATAAAAGTCATAAACAATTAAAAGCGAGGTTAATAGGGTTATAATTAGATCTAGGCATAATATGCATCAACATATATCTAGGATATTATCCTCTTTCTATGTATATATCGACAAAGAACTGCTGTGGAGGTCGTCACCTCTAACAAAATCGTCCCAAAATATTTGATTTATTTCATGCCTAAAGGATATACATATAGTTTTATTAGAGAGGTTCTTCGTTAAAAGTGAATATCTTGAATTCTTACTAAAACGCTATTCCGACTTTACCATTGGGGAAGGTGGGAAAAATAAACTATCACCTGACAAACTTACACAAAGAAGTAAATTTAGAATAAAAACCTTATGTTTTGGTAATTACGAACTTTAATATTTGTGTTTCTTGAGAGATTCTCAAATCCTAGAATTACACGACGAGTGTACCAACTCTTCAAATTATTATAATCGTTTTTGTTGATGTTAGTTAGTTCAGGTTAGTTGTTGAGCTCAGGATAGGTAACATTCGTTTATGCCGCGCCTACCGCATGGAACTCATACATTTTTATCAGCACAGAAATGTCTTTCTTGACTGATATACGTAACTGCGTTTTAGGTCGGATAGTGTATCGAGCGATGCGATCTTTTATTAATTGTTTGAATAACTTTCGACAGTATACTGACGTTTTTACGCTAATATTTGCCCGATATCTACTTCTATAAAGAGACAGGAAATGAGCTTGTTCGACCTCAGTATTGTCTGCGACTCCAACCGGGTAGCATGGCCAGATAACCTTCTAGTCACAATTTAACTAATTTATAAGTCTGGATCTGAAAAACCGGTAACAGTTAATAGTAAAGTGTTAAATCTGGTTTTTGTTAATAATGGCTTCGCTACCGAATGGACACACCGCGAAGAAATTGGATATCGTCGTTGTCGGTGGCGGTTTGGTAAGTTTTAATCCATTGATATCTATAGTGTAACTTTTACTAATTTGGTATAACGTACTTTACAGATGAAAATATTTCCTTTAAATTGTTTATATTTATATAGAATATTGTAAAAAACAGTTGTTTTTTTGGTCTTTTTATGGTTCCGTAGGTACATCAATTGGCAAAAACAGAACCCTTATAGGATCACTTGGTTGTCGGTCTGTCATTGATTACAGTCAATTTGCTCAGAATGTACTGGACCGATCAAGTTAAAATTTGGTATGTCTGTGACCCAAATACGGACGGATAAAGTAAATAAATTCCGAATATGGGGTTACTTTTGGCACAGATTATTTAATAGTTACTATTTTGAGGGGTGAATTAGAAAATTAAAATTTAGCAAACAGTACCATATTTGTTTCTTAGGTTTTCACGCACATCACTCATTAAATAAAACTATTCTTTTACGGGTTAATGCACGAAACTTTATTTATTTATTGGCATTAACCCGTAAAAAACTAGTTTTATTTAAACAGTACCATGTTATAAGTATATCAAATGCAAGGTCTCAATATGAAGGTTTTAACCATATATTTACAAGTGTAAAATGTAAAATTTTAAATTGTTAAAGAAAATAGATGAAAATTGATAAAAATATGGAATATATAGCTGTTTGATTGTAGATTACAAGAAATACTTTAAGAACTTTATATTAATTAAAATAAAAATGATTACTTTTTTGTAATTTTTTGCTCGATATTATAATATAGTGTCTAATGTTGTATAGATAATGATACGGAACCCTTCGTGCACGTGTCTGACTCGCACTTGACCGGTTATTTTATACATAGGAACAGTCATAGTAGTTGCTGATTAGTCTGCTATTTTTATGATCTAGATCTTCTCGAGATCTAAGTAGTGTGAAATATTTCTACAAAACAACGATGTTTTCTAGCGATTTAGGCACATTACGGTAAAAAGTGACAGATGGTCAGTTTTGTACCCTATATATATACTTTAACATGTAGTTCATGACATCGCTACAATTTGTATATAAGCATAGCTATGATAATGATGCCCGTAGATCTCATTTAAAAAAGTTTAAACAGATTTCTAAGAGAGTTAACATGTAGTTTATAACATCGCTATTACTTTTATACTTACAAGCATACCTATAATAATGTCCGTAGATCTATCTGATTTAGACAATTTGTTAAGTAATTGGTCTCAATTAAGAGTTCTTCATGATCTCCATCAATCAGAAAAGATCAAAGATGACGAAAAATTTACGTATTGTTAGTTCATAAATAAGTATTGATATAACCAATCGATATTAAAATAATAAGCAGCTTGTTGCATAATAGGCATAGGCGTATAAAATTTTAGTCACGATTTGGGACGCTTGTCCGGGTAGCGTATATAGTTATGCTAGTTCAGTACGTCCCCGTAATAAAAATAATCAGTTTTTTTCGATGACGGGGAGAAAAAATGCATTGGTAGGTCCAATGCATTTTTTCTCCCCGTCATCGAAAAAAAAGGTAAAGAAATGAAAATTTTACCGCATTTTACGATTTTTTTGAAGACCTCCGTGGCCGAGTGGTTTGTACGCCGGGTTTCATGGAGTCGCCGGCTCGTGAGGTCCCTGGTTCGAATTCCGGTGGAGGCAGATGTTTGTGTGATGAACACGACCATTTTTACTCCAGTCATGGATATTTAATATGTATTTCTATATAAATATACATATATCTATGCAGTATATGTATTCTATCCGTTACCCTAGTATCCCATAACACACGCCTGATAGTGCTTATTTTGGGTCTAGGCTAATTGGTGTGAGTGTTGGAAATATTTATTTATCTAGTTTTGCGGTAAAATCACATATCAATTATCTCAGCTCGCCAATCGCACTTTCTTTTGTATTATAATTTAATTGTAGTAATTTGAAAAAAAAAACCACCTTTGTACACTACACTTTTTTACTTTTGGTCCTAAAAATTGTAATTTGTTCTATTTCTTTGTTAAATAATATTGCATTGGTTTGAATTGCCTAAAGTACTTAGAGATTTTTCTTTATAGTTCGGATTTCCTCTACACCTTTATAATTTTGGGGTTGATACAAATCTGCCCTGGATTAAACCAATTTCGTTCTCAATGACGGATTTTCTCCAGATAAAGTTTAAGTCTTGGAAAAGAAATAAAAAATTATAATATCTCATTAAATCTTTCATTCAATATTCCATCGTAAAACCCTTTTGGTGCTAGTAATTGACAATAGTGTTTGTGGGTCCTATTTTAGTGGGTAAGGACATCTGACGAATGCGTTAGGACAATGTATATCACCTCATTGATCAATAAAAGGAAATATTTCAAAAAGGATATAATAAAAATGAATGGAAAAAAAATAAGTAAAACGAAATAAAAAATTGATAAGAAATTGATATAGATATGATACAAAATAAAACATATTAATGCGTGCACGCAATAAAATATATTGAATTATTTAAATAATAATTTCATTTCACAATATACATTGCCTTGACCGACTTGGCCTAAACGGTCGCGAACCATAGGTCATGTACTGGTTTTAATCTGTTATAAAACTGATGCAATCACGTTACAAATAATCAGAGACTCTATAATAATGAATTGCCATATGGAAATATTTACCTAAAATCATCAAATAGCAACCTACTAGCGGCAGCGGAATTTTGGAGCTAGATTCTTCGAGAGTTATAAATGTTAAAAGAAGTTATAAATATCAGATAACAAACACAACATGAAGTCCTATTACTATTCTAGATACAATGGTATTATTTACACACGAATTTAAAAGTAATAGTGTCACGATTTTTTTTATTAAGACTACGACAATGGCGATTAAATCACCTTATTTATCTCGGATAGACACAAAGGCCAGGCATCTATTTGGCCAGTCGCATAAGGGCGCTCAATGTCCTTCCAAAATGCCTCCCCACACCAAGAAGCTTATATACAACACTGGAGATTGCAGTGCAAACAATACCTTGAAGTGAAAAAATATGGCCTTGAATGACGTCACATATGTTTGTTATCTCTTTCTAAGGGTGACCATGTTGGAATATACGTTTAGGATACATACTTACTGGTATCGTCTTTAAACAATTTATAAATCAAAGCGTTGGAGTTGATAGGAACTTGGGAACACATTATTTAATAGTAATAAAATTCACAAGTACAAAAATCATTTTATTCATATTAGATGCGTCTTATATTATGCCATGTCAAAAACGTTTATAAAAAAATTAACGAGAAAGAATATGCAAACCCTTTTTAAAATCGCCAGAAATGCCTTTTACTAAGAACGGACTAGAATCTCTAAGCTACATATTTTGGCTGATAAATAAAATTGACCTTTTAATGGTATTGTTACGTGTCGGGATGGGGTTCGAAATTATATGCCAGTTCACGATTGACAGTTCTTTATTCACCACACAGTTCACACAATTAACACACAATGTTAATTACAAAACACTCACTAAACACTGTATTTCACTATACAAGTCTCTAAACAATCTTACTTGAACACTTTTGTTGCACTTTGATCGCCTTTGGATTCGCTCCGAAATCGCTGTTGAAACTAAACTGTCTCTGCGCGGCGCCAATCGCCCTTATATACGCCGATCGATGCATTATAGAAAGTAAATAAATAAATAAATATTTCCAACACTCACACAAATTAGCCTAGCCCCAAAGTAAGTACTATAAGGCTTGTGTTATGGGATACTAGGGTAACGGATAGAATACATAAACTGTACATATTTATGTATATTTTTTTTTACAGAAATACATATTAAACATCCATGATTGGAGTACAAATGCTCGTATTCATTACACAAACATCTGTCCCCACCGGGATTTGAACCCGGGACCTCTCGAGTCGGCGACACCATGAAACCCGGCGTACAAACCACTCGACCACGGAGGTCGTCGAATGTCGAAGTTCTAGAAAGTACCTGTTAAATTGAGAATTACCTAGCACCCGCGAGTACGAAATACCTACTTATACCTACGCAAGTAACACGCATAACTTGTAAAAAAGTGCAGATATCGTTGCACTTTCTCCTTTACGTCGCACTGCATAAGGCTCATTTTAGAATGAGCCGCCTTACTCGACTTCTATTGCGACCCGCGGTGCTCTGGCTAATTCGATCTCTAGCACATTCGCGGTTCCGTTTCGAGAGCGTTTGTGACAGTATAATGGACAACCAAGAATTTCTTTTAATGACATCTTTCGGGAAGCTGAAACATAAACAAAGGTATAAGACCGCTGCTAGATAGCTGTTATTAAATAGGTTTTCTACATCTAATCAACATGATCTACTACAGTATTTATTATAAACTTATTTTCATATTTTGAACTTTATAATTACTATTTACAATAATACTTATGTATTTTATTAACTTTCTCAAAATATCTCAAGTGTAGTGATAATGGTTACCCTACAAAACGAAAATTTATATTATTTTAATTTAATAAACTGCTGAATATGGTACCAAATGTAGTGAATAAAACAAGAATAACGTTAATTTATAGCCTCAGGACACTATGATTTATAAATACTAACGTTTTATTATGATTACAACATAAAAATATAGGAATATGTTTATTTCGGTATTGGCGTAATGTAATAGACTTACCTGTGAAATTTAGTGCTGGAATTTGGTTCCCAAACACTTCTGCAATCTCACACAACACAATACATATTATAAATAGCAAATTGAACAATTTAACACTTTTTAATAATAATCTAAACATTCGAAGCGGTAGATTTTTTTTGACAGATCGGAGCTATTCTTCAGTTGATTTTTTAATTAGTGTTGCTATTATACCAAAATGGTAGCAACCAGCAAACAGGGAAATAAAGGGCGTATTTATTATTTAGTTTTAAATATTGATTTCAAAGTAGTTGGTTAGAATTTGTCACACTCATCTTATAATAGTAATACAAGAGTAGGACTTCTGGAGATTGTAAAACTGATTGATATCTTGCATAGTTCTGTTTATTTTCACTTTCTGATTGGAATTTCTTGTATTTAACATGGTAATTTCAGATAGTGTGTGAGAGAGATAAAAAACATATCATGGGGCTAATGAACTCATCTTCATACAGAAGTTCTACATGCAATCTCCAGTGTTGTATATAAGCTTCTTGCCCCACACACGGTCAGTATGACTTGATCAAGCGGCAGGATGGTGAACCGTCCCAATAACATAACTTGCCCGTAGCCTTCCCTAACCCCATGGAGACCTAGAACTTTCCTCACCGGCAGAACCACCCAAAGCTTAGTACTATTATATCTCCGCCACCCGGAGCTAGATGGCGCAATGATCAGCACGTTTGCTAACTTCGCAGAGCAAACGTGCTGATCATTGCGCCATCTAGCTCCACCTTTTCATTGATATATATATATTATGAAATTTTCAGGTGGGGTCTTTAGAAGCATTGTATCTTGCCAAAAGGGGACACAGGGTACGGCTTTATGAATATCGTGAAGGTAAGTATCTCATGTCCCTATTTGTTATTTTATAATTTCAACCCAATCAGGCTGCGTTTTACAAATGAAATGGGATTTTTTCCTTGGTTTTTATCAACTGTGCTAAGGGCTAGCACGAACCAATATCGAATTCGTAACGTTTGCGAGTCCGAAATGTCATTGTCAAATGTGTACTGATTTTTAGTTCTCGTTACGTACTTTGTGAAGCTGCTGTTCAAGTTTCCATACAAAATTTGACATTGACATTTCGCAATCGCAAACTATTCGTGCTAAGGGTACCGACTTCAAAAAGGTCACTGAGCGATGGTTTCGAAAATCGCTCTAGACTTAAAATTGTTCTTTGGTTCTTTAGTGAACAATCTACTATTATTGTAATTCTCATTATTCTGCGTTAAAAAATATTCTTGATTTGAGGAAATAAGATAATATAATTTTACATCACTTTTTCATATCCTAACCTAAGTAAGGTACCTACACATAATTATTGTGGACTTAGCGTTGCTAAAATATATTGCGCTCAAGATCTTCATTGTTTACCATTGTTTGCTTATTATTATTTATTCAAATAATTGAGTTAAAGATTTTGCAAAATAATTATCTATTCTCATATTCGAGTTTGATAGCTCTAATTTTAGACGTTAGTTATTTACTAAAAAAAAAAAAAAAAAAAAAAAAAACCATATGACATGCAGGCTCAGGTCACTTAAAATATTAATTTCTAAGCCATTTTAATTTACTGACGGCGCAAACCTGCATATAAAAGTAAATCAAGTTGTTTTTCATATGTGTGCATGGGGATTTTATTGTTGTTCCACCACAGTGCCTGTTCAGTGGTTAAAAATTTCTGATCCGTTTGTGATAATTTGAAGACGCGGTTGCTAAGGCCGCCATCGGTTGTCCTAGCGACGACATGCGTCGCTAGGTCTTTCTCTTTCACTGTGTCCAATCCAAGACCATCCTGTGACGCACCAAAGTAACGGCGCATGCGTTATTTATCACAACAAGCAGCTGTCATATTTGTCTTTGACTTTTTTATATTTTCAGTGCATTTTTCAAGTTATTTTATTGTGTTTTTTAATTTTGTTTTAAGTTATTCTTTTTTGTGAATATATTTAAGTTTTGTGAATGCAGTCCGCGACCCAATCTAGTGATGGCACGTCGAACACGACCCGTAAATGTACACAGTGCCACAAATCATTCAAATCTTTGAAAGGCCTCAAAATACACACTACAAAAATACACAGGAAATGTATTAGCCAAAATAGTTCACCTTTAGACATCCATCCCATTATTCCGAGTGGGCCTACTTATGTAGCCAACGATCCAACTCCTTTCCACACATATCTTAGCCATTTGAAAAATAGTATACCCATAGTTAAAAGAATCCCTCGAGGAGCTCGAATAACTGTTGCTACACATTTATCACAATTAATTCAGAAATGCTACATAAGTAATTGTTCTCAAGACTGGCAGAACCTATTTTTATTTTCATACAGCACACTAAATATCTTAAAAACTAATGAACTGAATTTATCCTTAACACAAAAGATCAAGAATAATTGTGCTGTAAGCTCCTTGCCTTCTCCCGCACCTCTAATCAAACACAATGCCCCTCGGAATCGCATCAAACTCATTGAAAATAAAATCTGTGACGGAGATCTCAAAGGTGCCGCTCGCCTTTTGTTCTCCAACGACGTGCTATCTCCAGATACCCCTGACACCCTTCAGGCCTTACGGACAAAACATCCCCCAGCTCCAGTAAACCCATATTTTTTCGATCCACCAACAGCAGGGCAAGCATGCCTTCAAATTCAAAACAAAGATGTTACGGATGCCATTTTGTCTTTTAAACCAGGTTCGGCTGCAGGTTTGGATGGAATCTCACCCCAACATTTGAAAGACTTAACGTCGCATTCTGTGGGTGATGCAGGAAAGCAACTTATAAATTCGATCACTAATTTAATCAACTTTATGTATTCCGGTAATGTCAATCAAGAAATTGTTCCCATTCTTTTCGGCGCGAACCTCATTGCCCTCACCAAAAAGGACGGAGGGGTGAGACCAATTGCTGTTGGATCAACACTACGACGTCTGGCCTCCAAAATTGCTGTTCGACATATTTTACCAAAATTAAATTCGGAATTTGAACCCGTACAGTTAGGCTTTGGTGTAAAAGGAGGGTGTGAGGCAGCCGTCCATGCCTTACGCTCCTTCCTAACTTACGGACAGCCTGACGTGTTGCTCAAAATTGATGTCAAAAATGCATTCAATTCGGTAAATAGGGATACCCTGCTGACGGAAATAAAACAACATATACCGGAAATATACAATTATCTTCTTCTCAGTTACGCTGACCCAACAAAATTGTTATATCGTTCTAATGAACTATCCTCGGAAGTAGGTTGTCAACAGGGTGATCCCCTTGGGCCTGCAATTTTTAGTTTGGCTATAAATCCGATAATAAAAAAATTAAATTCTAAATTCAACGTTTGGTACTTGGACGACGGAACCCTAGGAGGTGATGTGGATACTGTGTTTTCGGACCTTTTTTTAATCAAAAACAAATTTGAAGCCATTGGTTTGGAGCTTAATTTTAGCAAATGCGAACTTTTTATAAATAACTGTGACTTAAATTTAAATGATGTTAAACAAAAATTTAATATTTTGGCTCCAAATATTAAAATAGTTAACAGAAATTCCCTTTACCTTTTAGGTTCTCCAATTTTTGATGAATCTATTTCTGAATATTTTAATAATTCAATTAATAAATTCCAAAATTCCGCTGACCGTCTCCTTGAAATTAGTCCACATTATGCACTTTGCATCTTAAAATTCTGTCTTTTTGTCCCAAAATTAACGTATGTCCTCCGTTGCTGCTCCTTTTGGAATCATCCAGATCTTTTGGCACAAGTAGACGGCTTAATCAAAAATAACTTAGAATCAATTCTTAATATGCAGCTTAACGAGCAATCTTGGACCCAAGCATCCCTACCCATCCGTTATGGTGGTTTAGGGATTCGCAAAATTTCCAGTGTCGCTTTACCAGCCTTCCTATCTTCTGTCCATAGTTCAGCAAATCTCATAAGTAAAATTTTAAGGGTATCCCCTTCAAACTTTGAGATTGCTGGCTTGGAAGAAGCTAGAAACGCTTTCTTAATTGCATGCCCAGGTCAAAATTTTCCAGTTTATCCAAATTCACAGAGGAGCTGGGATGACATAAACTGTAAATTGACGTATGATAACCTTTTGAGCTGTAGTACAGGTTCGGCGCGTGCTAGGCTTTTGGCCGTGGGTGCGCACGAGGCCGGCTACTGGCTTCACGCGTACCCCTCGGCAAATACAGGAACATTTCTTGAGCCTGACACGCTCCGAATCGCAACCTGTCTACGGCTTGGGGTCCCGGTCTGCGCTCCTCATAAATGTCCCTGTGGCAGTGATGTCGACAAGCTAGGACATCACGGACTGTCTTGCCAAAAAAGTGCAGGCCGCTTCTCGAGACACGCCGCACTTAACGATATCATACGCCGGTCCCTTGCCACCGTCAACGTGCCAAGTCTACTTGAGCCAACTGGTATTGCAAGAGACAATGGCAAGAGACCGGACGGTATGAGTTTGATTCCATGGAAGATGGGTCGGGTGCTAGTATGGGATGCAACCTGTTCAGACACGCTGGCCCCTTCCCATCTACATGGAACCAACAACAGAGCTGGTGCGGCTTGTGAAGCTGCTGAAAAAGCTAAGGCAGGCAAATACAGGGGTCTAGGCTCCGAATATGATTTTGTCCCATTCGGTGTCGAGACCCTTGGTCCGTGGGGTCCTAGCGCTTTAAGGCTATTTAAGGAAATAGCAAAAAGGTTAGTCGACGTCACAGGAGACCGAAGAGCTGGCAGCTACCTCGGACAAAGAATTAGTCTAGCCATTCAAAGAGGTAACGCTGCCAGTATCTTCGGTTCCTTGCCTAAAGGGACTCCTTTTAATAATATATTTTAGTTATTAATTTTTATGTTTTTAAGGTTTTTAATTTTAGTTTTATTATTCTAGTATTTATATTTTACTTATATATAGTAATTATGTAATTAGATAGAGACTTATTTGTTTATAGTTAGTGTATTTTATAGTTTTAATCATTAAATTATAAATATAATCAACTATCAGTTATTTACTAAAACAAATTATTATGGTGTAGTGTTTCTGTCGGTGACTAAGGTCCCAGGGCCCACGGGGTAGGGGATTGGATTGGGGTGGGCAACGGCGCGAGCGATACTTTTTGTATCGCAAGCGTCTATACTATAGGTCAGTGGTTCTCAAACTTTTTAAATGACGGAACCCTTTTGGGAAGCAAAATACTTGATGGAACCCTACAATAAAACAATTATTTTTATAAGTGTATTCTATATTAATCAGCATAATAAAAGTACAATGTATCCGTTACTAATTATTATTTACTTCACCACTTGGTAAGGACAATAATAGAAAACATTAAAAAAGAAAAAATCTAACTAGTGGGAGGTATGAAACTGTTTTTTATTTTTCATCAATTGCTTGATATCAGGTTTGATGGAAGAAAGTTGGAGTCTCATATCAGCTTCGGCGTCCAGTCTATTGCGATATTTTGTTTTCGTGGCTGCGTAGGTAGAGAATCCTGTTTCGCACAAATATGTAGTTGGGAACGGGAGAAGAATATCCAGAGCCATTTGGCCAAGCATTGCATATTCATCTTGGATTCTGCACCAAAAATCATTAAGAGGCGTCGTTTTGAACAATGACTCCATACTTGTGTCTGATGACATTTCTAAAAGAGATTCATATATCTCATTTGACATGTTTTCAGGCTTTTCCAAGTTGGGTAAAAAAGGATTATGAATCCAGGAGTTCACTTTAATTTTTGTATTGTGTTCTTCGGGAAAATACTTTTCAAAAGATGCGCGCATCGAACTGAGATATTGGACCAATTCTTCAAACACATTATCTTCAAACATTTCTGAGTCGTTTTCGCTAAC